CACAACCTGGGCATGTGACCTCTTGGTGCAGGGTCCATTTTCAACCCCTGGGCCACACCAGCCGGGCACTATGGTGTATTTGTATAGAGCAGCCCAAACAGACGAAGGCAGGGACCTTTTTATACCCTTTAACTTACTGAGGACCCGGGGAGCATTTGTTTCTGTGGGTTATATCTACCAATTAGAATTAACAACAGTCCTGGCCGGTGTGGCTCGCTTGGTTTTAGTATAAGTGTGTCCCAAATAGTACATGGGATATACTTAACACTAAAAATGTGTTTGTTGTTTATCTGACATTCAAATTTCAGCAGGCACCCTGTACTTTATCAGACGACCTTGCCTCCAATTGTATGACCTTCTCAGATGGGGAGCAGAATCATGGAATCACCATTACGTCTCAAAACTGGGAAAACGCCATACATGCTTGGCTGGAAGTGATGCAATATATTTAGGAAGTCCAAACAAAATTACAATAAACATTTATTGAGCTGTAATTTTTCACAATATTTTAATTCTGTTCTAAAATCAGTCTACAAATATCTCTACATAACACCAAAGCCAGTTATTTAATAAATAACAGGAATGTATCGCTTTGCAAAAACAACAAGCCTTATACATTTATGTCTATATATGATATTTGTAGTATCAGTTTCCCAAGGCTCATGGTACTAAACTGCACACCACACACACACACACACACACACACACACACCCCTATATTCAAATCAAATGGATTTATATTAAGTGTCAAATTAAATGCTGTATCAAATTCATAACCAGGTACACAAAATATGAATTGAATCCTGACTGCACTGTTGACAATGGGTACCATACCTCACAAATATGATTTCCAGTTAGGAAGAGGGAAATTGCTTTGCTGAATTTGAAGTGAGCACTAACCACCATCACCATCGGCAGAAATCTATTTAATTACATGGTACTCAGAGATTTAACACACATGCAGATATTAAATTGACACTAACACCTTGAAATCTGCAAAAAGACAGGGGTACATAGGGTCACTAACGCCACTAGCTGCCACAGGTTATCAGATGAGACTGACAGTCAGCTGCCACGAGGGAAATACTGGTCCCAGCGTATCCACTACATGTCAAGGGATCATTGAAGAGCGGAGTGCAGAATTCAGTGTGCTGACCAAAGTCTGTTTATCCCAGATACTGTACATCATACCAGCTGTCTAACACTAATTGTAAGGGTACTGCGTTAGATCCTGAAAAACATATATAATTCTATTATTCACAAGTGAGGCGCAAAGGTCCGACTACTCAAATGGCCAAAAACAGAAACTTTGCAGAAGAGTGATCTACTACTAAAAAAATTAAGGGGGGGGGGGGGGTTGACACCTTAGGGGCTCAGAAATTCCCTTTAATGTGAGCTGGCTGGAAGGCAGAGAGCTAGCTAGGTTTCTGGTTAAGTTCAAAAGCCAGTTCAAAACCCAGCAGGGAGAAGGTGTCAGGCATCACCCATACGGCGGATGTCGTAAGCGGCAGGAAGCATGGAGGTGAAGTGATTTAGGATTTTTAGAGTCCGCGTTGACGACGCAACATGTTATCCCTAACCTCTCCACAAGGCTGCTGAATCAGACAGACCCACAGCCAAAGTGGTTTCCATGGTCCCCATGGACATGCAAAAGTCATGGGCCTCCAACGACTGACCGTGACCTGCATGTTTACCCAACAGGGGAAGTCAGTACAGTCCCATCGGCCTCTGTCTCTGCTCACCCTGCGTGTGACAGGCTCCGTGTGGCCCTGTGTGGCGTACTGTGCCTCTCATCTTCAGGGACCTGAGTATTAAAAATTCTTTCAATGGCATTAACCCCTACATGTCATCATGCAGTCACCTTTATAAATGAAGACCCCGGCCCAGGTTCTGGCCGGTGTGGCTCAGTTGGTTGAGCATCAGCCCATGCTCCAAAAGGTCGCCGGTTCAATTCTATTCTAGGTCAGGGCACTTGGGCACCATTCCTAGTAGGGGGCATGCAGAAGGCAGCTGAATGATGTTTCTCTTTCTCTCTCCCTCTCCCTTAAATCAATAAAAACATTAAAAACAAAAAAAAGATCCCTGGCCAGTATGGCTCAGTGATTGAGCGTCGACCCATGTACCAAGAGGTCGCCGGTTCGATTTCCGGTCAGGGCACGTGCCCAGGTTGTGGGCCTGATCTCCAGTCAGGGAGCATTCAGGAGGCGGCCAATCGATGTTCTTGCTCATCGATGTTTTCATCTCTCCCCAATTCTCTCTTCCTCTCTCTAAAATCAATAAAGGAAAAAAATTTTTAAAAAAAAAAAGACCTCGGCACACTTCAAAGAGCAAGCTTTCAAGAAACTCTGCTGCTGTGACTTTGCTCCTGGAAATGACACGGGGTATCACTGAAACAAGCAAAAACACCCCAGGGGGCAGGGATGCTGACTGCTATCAGAAGATCCTGAGGGAGGCTGACCCAGTGAAAGCACCTTCACTGACTGTTAAGTAACAGATCATTCTAAACATCGAACCCAAGACAGCCACACAAATCCAGCAAGTGAGAGGTCGTTGGTCCTTTTTTCTTTTCTGGACTATTTTCTGTTCTCGGTATTTACTGTGATACTGAAGGACTGGGAAATCAACACTGACAGATATTTAAAAAACGGAGTCTCACAACAGACCCACAGTCGTTCTCACCGGGATGTTTTTATATCACATTTAATGAAGTGCTGCATTGATACATTCTACAGCCCTGAAGATACAGAAAAGGTTGCTCTTCAAGGTATGAGATATGGTAGAAAAATACACTTTTCCACGTACAAAAGAGAGAAAAAGAGATGGGGTTGGGGGTGGTGGGGGAGGCCCGATACCCTACACGCTTCCATGGAATGAATGGAGCAAGAAAGAAATTTCCAAACTCTCTGGGGTTAAGAATATGCCCGAACAAAAGGCAAGTTTCTGCATTCAAAAGCAGGAGTGATTTGGACCTAACATCTAGTATTTGTACTAGAATTTCCAACAAGGTTCTACCGTGAAGTGCTCCTGCTAATTAAATATAGGCTCTCTCATTAAAAATACCGATGTCTCGCCCTGGCCGGTTTGGCTCAGCGGTTAGAGCGTCGGCCTGCAGTCCGGAGAGACCTAGGTTCGGTTCCCGCTAAGGGCACGGACCTCGGTTGCAGTTTGTCCCCGGTCCTGGTTGGGTCTTGTGGGTGGCAGCCACTCGATGTGTCCCTTTCACGTCGATGTTTCTCTCTCTCTCTCTCTCTCTCTCTCTCTCTCTCTCTCTCTTCCTCTCTCTCCCTCCCACTCTATCTGAACAAAAAATGGAAAAATGACCTCGGGTAAGGATAAAAAATAAAATTAAAAAATAAAAATACCAATGTCTCTTAAGAAAATAATAAACCAATGTCTCTGCGACAGCTCGTATCATGCACCCAAGGGTTGCCAGTTCAATTCCATGTCAGGGCACATGCCCAGGTTGTGGACCGATCCCTAATGGGGGAGGCCAGGAGGTGGCCAATTGATTCTCTCTCATCAATGTTTCTATCTGTTTCTCCCTCTCCCTTCCTCTCTCTCTCAAATCAATAAAGAAAAAAATTTTTTAATAATTAAAAAAAAACCACTCACATCTCACACTTGAGTGCATCAGACTGCAACATGGGACCCAGAGCCTACACGACACCAATTTGGTAAAAAACAGTGCAAACTATGCCCTGGCCAGTTTGGCTCAGCGGTCGGAGCATCGGCTCTCGATCCAGAGAGACCAGGGTTCGGTTCCCACTAAGGGCATGTACCTCGGTTGCAGTGCAGTTTGTCCCCAGCCCTGGTTGGGTCGCGCGGGTGGCAGCCACTCGATGTGTCCCTTTCACATCGATGTTTCTCTCTCTCTCTCCCTCCCATTCTATCTGAACAAAAAATGGGAAAATGTCCTCAGGTGAGGATAAAAAAATAATAATAATAATAAAACAGTGCAAATTCTCAACGACGACATTCAGTTATGCTTGCGGTCTCTGGGGCCTCCCTGTATTTACTGAGAGTGAAAGTGGCTTCCCAATCCAGCACAGGGGCCTTGAGGTTTCATGTGCAAGGACACACAGGGAAGGGGTGACTGGCACACTCAGACCAGTGAGCGTTTAAGACCTAAAAGTTTCGTGCGGAATATGCCCACTTCCCCCTGGTCAGCCTAAGCAAAGCCACGTGCCAGTCCCGAAGCTCAGCCAATGCAGAGACGCGAAATGCATGCACACGACGAGTGTGACCTCCCCGGAGCCACCAGCACCCAGCGCTCACACAGCGTCACCGACAAGCATCTCCTTGACCACACTGGAGGGTTTCAAGTGCCCAGGAGGAAGATCGGCCCGAGCAAACCCTAGAGAACAGGTATGATCCCGGGAAGTGGGGCGAACGCAGGAGTGTCTGGGGCACCTTAAGAAGAGAAGTACTGTAGACATCCTCAGAAACGTCTGCTTCTATTCACCAGATACTCGCACCAAAAATAAAACTTCCCAGAAATGCCGCACGGGGGCTGGCAGAGAGCCGAGTTAGCTCCGGCGTGATGCCTGCATGACAGTTGTTAGTGCCACCTGATCAGACAGGGAGGGGGCTCTGGGCGGGGCTGCCAGGGCACAGAGGCGGGCAGCGGAGGACTGTGGAGATACTGGAGACCCCTAGCAGCCTCCAACAACAGCTGGGGCTTCCTTCCCATGCCCCGCTTTCTGACGCACGCCAACCAGCATGGGGGCCCTGGGGAGCATTTCCACCAGCCCCTGCCCAGGACCCTGCCGCTGTCTACCTTGCATGTGCCGCTCTCTGCCCCCAGAGCACCTCAAACGAGGACACCAGAGACTAAGACGGAAAGCACCTAACACGGGTACCGTCGTCCCTCGCCACTTCGCATTCTGACTTTGGCGGCTTCACTCTGTCGCAGCCACGGAAGTCGGGGTGCGAAGTGGCAGGGACGACTGTACAGTAAATAAAGAACCCCACTTCGCGGAAATTCATTCATCACCGTGGAGTCTGGAACTGATTAACCGCGATAAGCGAGGAGCGACTGTCTTGTAAAAATTTCAGGAAAAACAACTCGGATCTTCTCCAAGGCTTATTTATGCCGCTTGGTGTTCCTGAGATGCCTCATCAGCCTCGAGAATGGAAAACGTTATTAGCTGCTACGGTTTGTTTTCCCGCTAAGGTCCCGAGTCAACGGAAACCACAATGCAACAAAGAAACAAACCCCCCTGGAGAGCAGACCTGTCCTGTGCAGGCCTCGCTGGCAAAGGCAAGGCGAGGGTCCCCGAGATTCCCGAGTGGGCCTGGGCACCCACCCAGGGACCTCTCGACACGGGAGACCTTTTCCCCCCAGTGCTTGAGTTTTTCATCCGAGTTCAGAAGGGGGAGAAGAAAAAAAAACTCAGGTTTTCTACAAATGATGATTTCTTCACTGAGAAACAGAATTGATGGGCGCTTGGCTGGGGTCCCCACGATCCAAGAGGCGTTTCGTTTCATCCTCACGCCCGACTGTCTGCGTTTCAAAAGCGACAACGCTGATCACCTCGGTCAACATCAACCCCAAAGAACGTAAAACAAAGCTCACCTGGTAGGAACATGGAAACCACGCACAGGGACCTCACCCAATCCCTTCCCTTTTCGAATTAGTATATTTTTCCCCCTCCACGTACAGTTTTAAGAAACTTGACCCAGATCTGCCTTTATTAAAAAACCTTACAAAAGATGTATTTAAATGCTTGAAAAAATTAACGTTAGGCTCTATGCAGATAGACTTCTCTTACTGTACAGCTAATATGGTTCTATCCTTTGTTTAAAAAATATTCCCTCCACTAGGGACGCCCGGCGGGCAGTCCTACTTCAACGAGCCGGGCCTCCCGCGAGGGACGAGTCCTAAGAGTCCGCCCGTGGCCGGAAACACCCACAGAGCGCCGCCCTCGTGCTCAGGAGCGTTTATTAAGACTGTTTGGGGCTGGCTGTGGTTTTTTTCCTCCTCCTCTTCTGCTTTCTGAGGGCGGGCGCAGGCGCGGCGGGCCCCGGCCGGCCGGCTGATTGTCACTTGCCGTTGGCGCGGTCCAGACTCTCCAGCACGCGGTTGAGGCGGATGTTGAGGAGGCGCACCTGGTTCTCCAGGTGCTCCAGCTTCTCCTCCACGCTGGGGCCGCTGGGGCCGCCCCGCCAGTACCAGCCCATGGGCCCGGTCATGAAGTACACCGCCACCACGAAGCACAGGGGCAGGGCCGCGTTCTCCGGCTCCCCCTGGTGCTTGTGCAGGATGTACACGCAGGACATGGAGAACAGGACGACCCGCACGACCCAGAAGAAGCGGCCGAACACCACGTGCAGGAGGCTGAAGGTGAAGCCCAAGGTCAGGGACAAGAACCAGTAGGCCAGGACGATGACGCCCACCAGCATGAGAGCCCGGGCAGGGCTGCTAGCCACCGAAGCGGGGCTGAAGTACTGCGACATGTTCGAGACTGCGGAACAGAAAAGAGGGACAGCGGCCGGTTACAGGGCGCCGGGGTTTCTGCACAGGCCGGGCTCGGGCCGCTCGGCTCACTTGCGGGCCCTGTGCCACAGCCCACGGAGCCACGCGGCCTCACTAACTTCCATGCCAGCCCGGGGGGACGACAGGGCCGGTCCTCCGGCTGCCTGCCCTACTGTGGGCTTCAGGCCCGTCACGCAGGGCACGGCCTCAGCGCTGTCCTTCAGCTTCCTCCCTTCTTGCCTCCTGCAGCGACAAGGGCCGGGCCGTGCAGGACACGAGGCTGCCTAGGGTGTGGGCCCTTCCCACGACTGAGCTGGGTCAAGGGGGACTTTTCCTAAGAGTAGCGGGAAGGTGCCCTTTACCTCTTCTTCTGCCTGCTGGGGCGTGGATGCCATAGTAGGGGGAGTAGTAGCATCTGTCTTGGGCCACGAGGGAAGAAAGGTCACCTATTGGGGAGCAATCAGATGGGAGCCACCTCGGTCCTGAGGACGACGGGCTACGAGGCCACCTACCTGCCTACCCACCTACCTGGAAACTCCCACATAAGAGAAAGACGCTTCCATCTTGCTTAAGCTGCTGTTACTTTGGGGTGTCTTACTCACAGCCAAACCTAAGCGTAACTGGTACCCCCACACGCAGTTCCATCTTAAGCATGGAGTAAAGGCAGGAGGTGCGTCCAACTTAGGAAAATCGTTAAGCAGAAAGGTTAGCAGAGCAGCGGCATCGGCAGGACGCGGCGGGGTCAGCGCCCGCTCACGCTTGGCCATGTCACACACTCCCGGCTCCAGTCACACACTTTTTTTTTTTTTTTTTTACCGAACCCTCTGAAAGACATACACACCATACTTTAGCAGGCTTCTGCCCCCTCCCCACCCCCAGGTTTATTTATTGAGATATAATGGACATAAAATAGTGGAGAAGTTCAAGGGGTACAGCGCATGACTTACATATGCTGTGACAAGATCACCACAATCAGCTTAGTGGGCGTCCATCACCTCGTAGGGACACAAAAAGGAGGAAGAATTGTGCTTGTCCTAAGAACTGACCTAGTCCCCTCTCTCTCTCCTCTCTCTTTTTTTAATCCTCATCTGAAGACATTTTTGCATTTATCTTCAGATAGAGCGGGAGGGAGAGAGAGAGAGAAACATCGACGTGAGAGAGACACATCGAGTGGCTGCCACCCACACGACCAACCAGGGCCGGGGACAAACTGCAACCGAGGTACATGCCCTTAGCGGGAACCAAACCCGGATCTCTCTGGACCGCGGGCCGACGCTCTAACCGCTGAACCACACCGGCCAGGGCTCTAGTCCTCTCTTAATAGCTTCCCTATGTAGCCTTCCCTACACATCCTCTACGTTGGCTACAGTTAACATGTTTACATGACAGCCTCGTATTTACCTATAGCTGGAAGTTATATCTTTTTTTTTATCCTCACCCGAGGACATTTTTCCATTTTTTGTTCAGATAGAGTAGGAGGAAGAGAGAGAGAGAGAAACATCTATGTGAAAGGGACACATCGAGTGGCTGCCACCCACACGACCAACCAGGGCCGGGGACAAACTGCAACCCAGGTACGTGCCCTTAGCGGGAACCCAACCCGGATCTCCCTGGACCGCAGGCCGACGCTCCAACCGCTGAGCCACACCGGCCAGGGCGCATTTTCCTTTTCTTTAGATATAGTCCCGGAGGTGGGATCGCGGGGTCACACAGCAGTTCCATGTTTTATTTTTTGAGGAAACTCCATACTGTTTTCCACGGCGGCGGCACCCCCACAGGAGTGCACGGTGCTTCCGTTTGCTACACGTCCTCGTCGTTGTGTTGAACGTGGCCGCCCTGACAGGTGACAGGTAGCACATCATCTTTTATGGGAAAAAGTCTATTCAGGTCCTTGGTCCGCGTTTAATAGTATTATTTGGGGTTTTTTGCTATTTAGTTGCACGAGTTCTTTTCTTTTCTTTTCTTTTTTTTTTTTATCCTCACCTGAGGACATTTTTCCATTTTTTGTACAGATAGAGCGGGAGGGAGAGAGAGAGAGAGAGAGAGAAACATCGACGTGAAAGGGACACATCGAGTGGCTGCCACCCGCACGACCAACCAGGGCCAGGGACAAACTGCAACCGAAGTACGTGCCCATAGCGGGAACCGAACCCGGGTCTCTCCGTACCGCAGGCCGACGCTCTAACCGCTGAGCCAAACTGGCCAGGGCTGCAAGAGTTCTTTATACGTTTTGGATGTTAACCCCTTCCAGGTGGGGACTTGCCGAGGATACCACAGCTAGGACAGGACCGAACTGGGACTTTGAGGCAGGGAGTCGAAGGAACACGCACTCTCCCCCCTTTGTTGGAAGTGGCCTCGGTGGCCCAGGGGAAGTAAACAACTGGACGACTTAAATCCGTCCTCCCTGGACAAGTGCTGTCTCCCACGAGTGTCTTGAGCCAGCAGATCTGAAACGGGGCTGAAGCTGGCTGTGCCTTGGGGTAGCCACTGGCCACAGCGCTGGACACGGGGCGGGTCTCAGCTGAGGCGTATTGTGTCACACACACACTGGATTTTGAAGACTTAACACCTTCCAAACGTAAGACACCTCGTTAATCATTTTCCATGTCGATGACAAGTTGAGATGATAGTATTTTGAATCTATTGGGGTAACTGACGTACCTTATTAAAATTAAGGTCACCGGTTTCCTTTCTTAGTTTTTATGTTTTTATTGATTTCAAGAGAGAGGGAGGGAGACAAACTTTGATGTGAGAGAGAAACATCGATCCGTTGCCTCCTGTCCGCACCCCGACCGGGGATCAAACCCACCGCCTTTTGGTGTACAGGCTGATGCTCAACCACACTGGCCAGGGCGGTGGTTCCCGTTTCCAATGTGACGACGAGAACATTTCGCATTACGTGTGTGGCCGGCTCTGTTTCTGCCGGATGGCTCTGGGCTGAGAAGTCTCCATCTTCCCAGCAGCCTGGAACATCCCGAGGACCGTGCTCACGGGAAAACTTCGCACGGCTGCCTTGTACACACGCGAACGTCTAGGCGCAGGACACACACTGCAAAGGACTTCGGATGCTGTGGAGTCTGTGCGTCAAGTAAGGGGGGAAACCGTGACGTGGAAGTGCGTTCCCTCACCTGCGGGCGTGCCGAATGTGAGCACTGACTGCCCCGTGGGTCCGCGCGGAACGACCCTGACCCTGGTCCCCTCCTGCTACTCAGAAGGCGGTCTCCTCTGGATTTCTTCCCCCGGCTGCGCGCGAGTCCTTGTAATCAGGTGTGTGTCTCCCGGGCAACCTGGTCGGGGGTGGCAGTGCTGGACGTTGCGCAAGCTGGGCCGGCAGAGACCTCGGGTCCCGAGACGGACTGCACGCCGCTGCTGTGTCTGGTTTTGCACTGGCTCGGCCCGCGTCCCAGGGGTCGCCATGTGTGGCCTCAGGGGCAGCCGGCTGCACGGCGTCCTCTCAAAGGGCCATGCTGCCACCTCAGATTCTCCGCCTGAGCAGCGAGGCCCCCCGCGTCGGCCTGAGGCCCCTCAGAGGTTGAACTCAGTGGTCTGAGGCTGCAGATGGTTCGAGTGGCTGTGGGGGACGGCAGCAGGTGTGAGCCAGGGCGGTGCCCCCACTGAAGGCTCCAGGGGAGAATGCAGCCTTGTCTCGTGCAGCCCCTGAAGGCTCCTGGCACCCTTGGCTTGTGGCCACATCACTCCAGGCTCTGTCTCCATCGTCACACAGCCTCGTCCCGTGTGTTTCTCTGGGTCTCTGTGTCCACGGCCCTCTTCTTATAAAGACACCAGACACTGGGCTTGGGACCCACCCTAACCCAGGATGACCTCATCTTAACTTGATCACCTCTGCTCCCGAATAAGGCCACATGCACAGGTCCAGGGCATTCTGGAAGTGTAATCACACCAGCAGTGAGGCAGTGGGGCAAGTCCTCCAGCTCTTCTTTTTTTTTTTTTTTTTATCCTCACCTGAGGATATTTTTCCATTTTTTGTTCAGATAGAGTGGGAGGGAGAGAGAGGAAGGGAGACAGAGACAGAAACGTCGATGTGAAGGGACACATCGAGTGGCTGCCACCCGCACGACCAACCAGGGCCGGGGACAAACTGCAACCGAAGTACGTGCCCTTAGCGGGAACCGAACCCGGGTCTCTCCGGACCGCAGGCCGACGCTCTAACCGCTGAGCCAAACCGGCCAGGGCCCTCCAGCTCTTCTTAATGCTGGGCCCCTTTGGGCCACGGCAGCGCCCGGCCAAGAGTGCAGCCTGGAGGAGATGGGCAGGACCCCGCTTGTGGGAGCTGAGATGCCAGAGGGGAGACAGCACCTCCCACACCCAGGAGGTTACAGCAGACAAGTGCCCTAAAGAGAAGGAAGGGATGGTGCGAGAACATGGGGTAATCAGGATGGACTCCTCAGAGGAGGTGCCATGCACCAGAGACCCAAAGATGGATCAGACCAAGCTGGCCAAGGGCTGGGTGATCGGTGCTGGAAGGACACACCTAACAGGCCTCCTGGAAGGTGCGAAGGCCCGGGCACGTCCAAGAACAGGGCGCAGGCGGAAGCTTGGAAGATCCTGGATGCTCACAGTCCTCGCGTGACCTTTGTCAGTTCCAAGTGCAACCGGAAGTCACTGGGCGGTTTTCTTTTTCATGGTGAAATTAATGCATTTATCGATTTCGTGGTCTTGCCATTTGTATTCATTTATTTTTCTTGCAGATGTTTTGTCACCGGACAGTTTTAAGGGCAGTGACTTGACCTGATTTATGTGTGTTTGTTTTTTTAATCACTCAATGCAATAAAAAATAGTAATTAAAAAAAAAAAAATCCCTCTGGCTGAGTGAGAAAGGCAACCGGCAGCAAGGAGGAAACCAAGTTGGGAGGAGTGCGGGGAGGGTCCGCCCGGCCGGCCGAGGCTGCCCTGCAGGGAGTCCTGCTGGCAAGGCTGGCCTTGGCCGGTGCCTGGGAACTGGATTTCCGGAGCATGATGCTGATTCATGACAAGAAACATATACTTGGGCTTTGTCCCCGTTTCTGACACCGAGCTCCTAAAACCCTTGGGATTTCCTCAGTGACAACAGCGAGAAAAGCGTCTCGATAATTCATAACAAGCTCCTTTCGACCACTCCTGGGTTTATTCATCGGGTGACTTTGGGAAGCCCCTAAGGATGGGGGCTGGTTGCCAGGGAAACCAATCCTGTGATCGAAGGGATGGAATATTCAGTCCACCCCCCCATCTCCGGGGAGGGGGAAGGGCTGGAGGTGGAATCGGTCACCGATGGTCAGTGATTTGGTCAATCATTCCTGCGTCAGGAAGACTCCAAAACACCCAAAGCAGAGGGTTCGGAGGGCTCCTGGGTTGGACTCCGCACACGAAATCCCCGAGCCCTGACCCCAGACCTTGCCCCGTGCGTCTCTTCCATCTGGGCCGTTCCTGCGTGATCTCTGCTGATAAACCAGGAAGTCAACTGGTTTCCTGAGTTCTGCGGGCCGCTCTAGCAAACTAACTGAACCCAAGGAGGGGGTCGTGGGGACCTCTGATTTATAGGTGGCTGGTCAGAGCCCAGGTGGTAACCTGGACTTGCGATCAGCACCTAAAGGGGGCGGTCTTGTAGGATGGAGCCCCTGACCTGTGGGATGGATGCTGTCTCCAGGTGGATGGCATCAGACTGACCTACATTTGTGGGACGCGGGACCAGCATCCGAGGAGGGGGGAGTTGGCTTGGCGGTGTGGCCCTGCAGAAAAGGCTCCTCCATTCCCCATAAGAGGGTCTCCCTGCATCTGGACTCTTCACGCAAACAATGTGGTTCATGCTGACACCCTGCCCTCCTTTGGGGAGTCTGGGATTTAGGTACCTGCCAGGCAGAGGGTGCCTAGGTGACCAGCACAGCCACACACGCCCTGGGCGCTGAGTCTCTGAGGACTTCGCCCGGTAGACGACACCTCATACCTGTATTGTCACAGCTGCTCGCTGGGGAATTAAGCGTGTCCCGTGTGACTCCCCGGGGGGAAGACTCGAGCTGGAGCCTGCTCCCCTCTGGCCTTCCTCTCATGCACCTTCTCCCTTCGCTGATTTTGCTTCAGGCCCTTTCGCTGGGGTACGGACCAGCGAGAGTGTGACGCTGGCTCCCTTGAGTCTTCCTAGAGGCCCCGAGCCTGGGGGTGGTCTTGGGGACCCCAACATGAGAGGCTGCTGCAGACTTCCCGGAGCGGAGGCAGCAGCTTGGCCCCAGGCTGTGTCCTTGATGTCAGTGACCCCTGCGGCAGCCTCCTATTTCCTGGAGCAGGACAGGTCAGCGGTGTGCGGGGTCACACGTCACTCCTTCAGACCTTCTGATGACTCGGTGAGCACCTCACCCTCTGAATTACACCCTGTCTGTTTAACTGGTGTAGTTTGATATGGATCCCTGAGAACCCACCTCTGCTCCGTGCAGTTGGCCTGGGGGCAGACACGTCAGCACTGCCCCGAGTGGCACCTGTGAACATCGGCTCTGAAGGGCCACTGCCCCCCGAAAGGCGTGTCACGTACCACCCACTGTGGGTGCCAGTCACACCACGAGAACCACCGGGATTAAAACGCGCCTTGAAGAACACCCCCTACACCTACCGTCGAGTCCAAGAACGTCCAAGATCTCTGTCCACACTTTCCACAGCGTCTCCAGAAACATGTCCACGCCCAGCACGAACCTCTCGGTCAGCCTGGTCAGGAACTGCAGAAACAAGAGGAGGGTCATCACCGACTCGCCCACGCTGCCCTCTTCCTGGTCCGGCCTCCCTTCTGCGGACGGGGCGATGCACCAAGGGCGACAGGAGCCTCCACTCAGCAGCCCCCTCACTCCTTGTCCAACGGCCCCCGGGCCCCTCTGCTCCCCGTTCTGTCCAGGTCTCTGCTCCCCTCTGCCTGGTTTCTCGATCTCATTCATTTATTTATTTATTTATTTATTTATTTATTTATTTATTTTTATTTATTTTTTTTATCCTCACCCGAGGACATTTTTCCATTTTTTGTTCAGATAGAGCGGGAGGGAGAGAGAAACATCGATGTGAAAGGGACACATCGAGTGGCTGCCACCCGCACGACCAACCAGGGCCGGGGATAAACCGCAACCGAGGTACCTGCCCTTAGCGGGAACTGAACCCGGGTCTCTCAGTACCGCAGGTCGACGCTCCAACCGCTGCGCCAAACCAGCCAGGGCTCGATCTCATTTATTTTTAATGTTTTACATTTATTTTTCAATTACGGTTGGCGTGCAGTGTTACGTTGGTTTCAGGTGTACAGCACAGACGTTAGACATCCGTGTACCTTACGAAGTGATCACCCCACTAAGCCTAGTGGTACCCACCTGGCACCACCCACGGTTATGACAATATGATTGGACCGGATTCCCTGTGCCGTGCATGGCATCCCTGTGACTGTCTCTGCAACTGGCAATCTGTCCTTCTGATTTCTCAGCTGTGCGTGGGGGCGTTTCTGGCCCCGACCTCCTCCACCTGGAGGCTGGGTCACCCTGCCACGGAGCAGCTCTGAAGGAGGAAAACATTCTCACAGTTGAGCCGCATCTGTAGCGATGACAGAAACCCACGCCCTGTCCGGCCTCGGGGACCTGGAACCTGAAGGTCTGTACAGCTTTCCAGGCGAGTCCAGAGGACCACCTCCCGAGCATGGGTGCAGGCTCGTGTCACCTTTTTAGCATTATTTTTTGCATGGATTGTTTTTTTTATTATTATAAAAAACAAGAGTTTTAAGAAATAATGAAACCTTTTTTTTTTTCCAGATAGAGTGGGAGGGAGAGAGAAAGAGAGAGAGAAACATCGACATGAAAGGGACACATCAAGTGGCTGCCACCTGCACGACCCAACCAGGGCCGGGGACAAACCGCAACCGAGGTACGTGCCCTTAGCGGGAACCGAACCTGGGTCTCTCCGGACTGCAGGCTGACGCTCTGACCGCTGAGCCAAATCGGCCAGGGCAAAATACACTTTTTTTTTTTTTTTAATTGACTTGAGAGAGAGAGCCCAGCTGGTGCAGCTCAGTGGATGGAGTGTCTGAGGGGGTCCCGGTTCAATTCCCGGTCAGGGCACATGTCTGTGTTTCGGCTCGATCCCCAGTAGGGGGTGCACAGGAGGCAGCCAATCGATGTTTCTCTCTCTCTCTAAAAAAAAAAAAATCAATAAAAACATATTTAAAAAAGAAATAAAGTTTGATTGATTTGAGAGAGCGAGAGGAAGGGAGAGGAGGCCAGCAGCCACAGAGACGGAGGAGACAGGCCTGGACACCCCGTGCCGGAGGGTTTCCCGCCCCAAGGAGAATCAGGCCCTCAGGCAAGTGCATCCTGAGCGAGTCAGGGAAGAGGTGAGAGTTCCTGCAGGTGAGGTTCCCTGGGCACCTGTGGACACGATGAAATGCCAAGGTCACCTGAATGCCAAGTGCCGGAACACACGGCCCGCTCAGGAATGAATCGCAGAGGGGGAAGGAGGGCGGAAGGCCCGCTGAGCTACAACCAAAGATCAAAGGGAAGGTCACGCTGACACCGCGTGGCCTGATACACACCCACACAGGACCCCAGACCCTCGGCAGACTTCTCGCTGGAACTGCGTGCCCTCCCTCGGACCCGCAGGAAGCAACCAGACACACTGCGGGACATTGCGAAAGACAGCTGACCGGTCAAAGCCACAGTGACTGGGTACCCTTCAGCCCCCCAGCAGGGCTGGCATCCACAAGACAGACGAAGACATGAACCAGAACCCTCAGCCACAGCAGAGCCTTGAAATGTCACAGCAACGAGACCCGGCAGTTCCGCTCCTAGGTCTACACCCCAGAACCCTGAACACACGCTCTCACAGGGCCTTGCACGTGGGTGTCCCCAGCAGCAGCACAGGCAGTGAAATGACCCAAATGTCTCACAGCTGATGGATGGATCTATAAAGGGCCATCAGAGGGAACGAAGCACCGACCCCCGCTACACCATGGGTGAACCTCACAAATGTTACGCTGAGTGAGAGTCAGTCACAAAAGACCACATGTGGCCTGGCCGGTGTGGCTCAGGGAATGAGCGTTGACCCATGCTCCAAGAGGTCGCCGGTTCGATTCCTGGTCAGGGCACATGCCCAGGTTGTGGGCCCGATCCCCGGTGGGGGGCACGCAGGAGGCGGCCAATTGATGTTTCTATCTCTCCCTACTTCCCCCTTCCTCTCTCTCTAAAAATCAATCAATAAAAGTAAATAAATAAAAGACCACATGTGATTCCATTTATAGGAAATGTTCCAGAATAGGTAAATCCACAAAGACAGAAAGCAGATTACAGGTGGCCAGGGGCTGGGGGGGAGAGGAGTCACTGCTAATGGGCATAAGGGTTAGCAGGGTCACAGTGATGAAAAGGTTCTGAAATCGATCGCGGTGACGGTCACACAGCTGGCTCTCTGCATATGCTAAAACCCACTGAACTGCCCATGAATGAATATGGGGCAGTGTCTGAACTGTGAGTCATAAAGCTGTCACAAAGACAAAATGTCAAGGTCACCAAAGCTCCCCACGCCTCCAAAACGTCAGTGGACTTTGACAGGCTGAAGGAGACTGAAAGGACTGAAACCGAACGCAACGAGCAGCCCTTGGCGCGTCGGGTCTTCCGAACCGCTGTGAAGGAAGTGTGGACGGACTGTGTGCTGCAGAGGTCACTGTGCTCATTTCCAGCTTCCTGCAGGGGGCGTGGTATCGAGGGTCTGCAGGAGGAAGGGTCATGTCTGCAACCTACCTGCAAATGGTTCAAAAGAGACTGTGTGTGTGTAGCCAAAAAGAGAGAAACACATGGGGTGGGGGGGGGGCGCGAACAATCGGTGAACCCAGGCCACCGGCAACGTGGACACCTGTTCCGTATTCTCTGCTTTCAACTTTCCTATACTTTGAAATGTTTCCAAGTAAAGAGTTAGAGGAAATATTATTTTGATTGTGGTGATGTTTTCCCAGGTGTATACATCTGTCAAAAAATGTATCATGTCCAGTTTTGCCCACTGTAAACACATGTTGTCTTGACACATGTCAATTATACCCCATAAAGCCACTAAAATGTTAGCAGGAGAAAAAAAAAAAGACTACAAAGTGTCAAATTTATTTTGCTCAAAATTTCTTGCAAACAGCCAAAAATGCAGGCCTTTTAAAAACAAAACAAAAAAGACCAACAGTTCAATAGACAAAATGTCAAAAAAAAAAAAAAAAAAAACCCACCACAGTTCCCAGAAAAGAAATTGCTATAGATTCGGAGTAAGCAAAGAGACCATCTCTCTCAAACTTAATAAAACCAAAACGTCTAGTGCCACGCGTTGCTGCAGCAGGTTTGGGAACCAGCCCTCGCACGTGTTGGTACAAGCAGAGTCACCGGGTAACTCGGGAAATGACTCGGTTTTATCTCAGAAGTGAAAGTGTCTATGAAACTGTGCCCACTGGACGCAAGCAGACAGAACCCATTTATGCTGCCAGCAGCACTCAGCAGAGTGGTTATCTTGGGGTGGAGATGGCTGAACAACCCACTCCTAGAGCCCAAGCTGGTCACGTGGGTGTGCTCAGGGGGCGACCACTTGTGCTCACGATCCCGCAGGAAAAGGCACTAGTTAGATTTCGGTTAAAAATGTTTTAGCCCTGGCTGGTTTGGCTCAGTAGTTGGAGCTTCAGCCTGCGGTCTGCAGAGACCCGGGTTCGGTTCCCGCTAAGGGCACGTACCTCGGTTGCAGTTTGTCCCCGGCCCTGGTTGGGTCGTGTGGGTGGCGGCCGCTTGATGTGTCCCTTTCACGTCGATGTTTCTCTCTCTCCCTCCCACTCTATCTGAACAAAATATCAAAAAAAAAAAAAAAAAGTCCTTGGGTGAGGATTAGAGAAAAAAAAAATTTTTTTTTAAATGCACGGACCCTTGGATTCAGCAACTCTATTTCTAACAATTTACAGATGAATTTGTCTACGTGCACGCACACACGCACGCGCGCACACACGCACACACACCCAGTCTATAAAGAAAGGCCTTTCTTGCGGCCTTGAGTGGCAGAGACAGGAAGCTAATAAAACGTCTGCTATCAGGGCGGGTGAAAGTATAGCACATCCTTACAGTAATCTGCTCTCCGCAGCCCTGGGAAAAGAAGGAAGCAAGGCAGTGTGGACTGATAAGGCCCGATCTCCAGACCCTAACTGGAAACGAAGGTGAAGGAACAGTACACACAGCGCAAAGCAAACAGAAAACCAGCGAGGGGTGGGATCTATAGACCTACAAGGGTATGCAGGCTCTATAAAAATAAAAATAAATGAAAACAAGCATAAGCTCTGGCCGGTTTTGCTCAGCGGTTAGAGCGTCAGCCCGCGAACCAGAGAGACCCGGGTTTGGTTCCCGCTAAGGGCACGTACCTCGGTTGCAGTTTGTCCCCGGCCCCAGTTGGGGTCGTGTGGATGGCAGCCGTTCAATGTGTCTCTCTCAGGTCGATGTTTCTCTCTCTCTCTCTTCCTCCCGCTCTATCTGAAGATAAATGCAAAAACGTCCTCAGGTGAGGATAAAAATAAATAAATAAAATAAAAATAAAAAACAACAACGGAAACAAAAGCAAAGGAGCAAGGAAAACAAAACAAACAACTCATGCCCCCTCCTCCGGGCAGGACCCCTGGACTCCCCCTCCTCTTGGCTCTGCAATGCCTTTCTTGCATCACAATAGACTCTACCTTGTTAAGCCCAGATCCTGTGTGAGGCGTGAGGTCTGTCTCCTTCTCTCCCTGGCTCGCTCTGTCCACCCATGCCTCCCTGGCCCTCACATACACCAAACCCGCTCCCACCACAGGGCCTTTGTCCCTGCTGTCCCCGCTGCCCCTTTGGTTCCTTCTCATTCAGCACCCTTCCCTGGCCACTGGTTACTCCCAGCTCTGCAGTGAGTGTGGGCGTGCCAAGCTCCCCGCCACTGATTCGCTGACCTGTAGGCAGGACATCCACCCTCCCTGAGCCTCACTCCCCTCACCTATAAAACGGGGGGACAGAACAGAACCTCTCTCACAGCAGTGCCAGAAACAGGCTATGCTTCAGCGGCGGTCATCTACCATCATTATTACATCATCCTGTTCTATTTCTCAAACGACGCCAACCACTCTAACGTGGCTGCATTTACGTTTTACCTTCTCGTTCCTGCCCCACGAAAGCTCCTCGAGAGGGGATACTTCCTGTCTTGTGCTCCATATAGCAGGTGCTTGAGAAAAAGTTTAAATTGTTGTAAAATACACATAACATAAGAGAGACCGTTTTAAGTGTACAACCCAGGGCAACGAGTACATTCACAACGCTGTGCAAAGGCCGCCTGTCAAGTTCCTGAACATCCTCCTCATGCAAAAAAACCACCCTATCAACTCAGCAGTCACTGCCCCGATCCCTCCCCTTAGCAACCACCACTCTTGCTTCCTGTCTCCGTGGATTTGCCTGTTCTGGACATGTCAGATGGATGGGGTCATGCAGTATGCGGCCTTTTGTGTCTTTTTTTTATTTTAAGGTTCATCCGTGTATCAGTACTTCACTCAACACAAACTTGCAGTGTGTGCCCTTCCTTTTCATGGCTGAATCATATTCCACTGCATGAATAGATCAGTCTGGTTATCCATTCATCAACTGATAGGCATTTGGGTGGTCTCCACTTTTTGGCTACTGTGAAAAGTGCTTCTGTGAACACTTGTGTATAAGATGATTAATAATATAAAAAAATGTTTTTCTTTATTGATGTTAGAGGGAGAGATAGAAACATCGATGAGAGAGAACACTGATTGGCACCTCCTGCATGCCCCCTACTGGGGATCGGGCCTACCACCTGGGCATGTGCCCTGACTGGGACTCGAACTGTCGACCTCTTGATGCATGAGTTGATGCTCAACCACTGAGCCACACCACCCGGGCGATGCTTAATTTTTAAACGAATCAATGAATATACCACTCTCCTACCAGATAAATCCCTTTCTCATATAAACATCTTCTACCATTAACCAAATGCTTACTCAGTGCCTGGTGTTGTACACCCTGACCAATCACATCCAACCCCCAGTTTATCTCCAGTGCACAAAGGAGACAGAGAGGGGTCAAGCGACAGGCCCAAGGTCACAAAGCTAGTGAGAAGCAGAGCTGGGGTTCAAACCCATGTCTGTTGGTCAGCAAGGCCCATGCTCCAAACCAGAAGGTCATGGGTTTATTTGAAACACGTCCTAGATTAGAAAATAGGGTGTTTCTTTACCCGCAAACGTCACCACCCACCAAGCAGGTCTGGCTCTACTTAGCAGACCCAGGCACACGGAAAGTGCAGTTGCCAGCCAACACAGCTTTCCTCCCATTAAGGGTACCAGCCCGTTCTCCCCAAGCCTGGCTGGTGTGGGCTACACTCAGCAGGAGAGAAGTCAGGTCAGCCTCATTCTAGAAACTGCACGGATTGGCGAGCCCCGGGAAGGTCAGGAGGCAGGGAGACCGTGGGCTCCAGGCCCGCACGGCCTGGGTTCAAATCCTGATTCTGCCACTCAGCCTCACCTAAAGCCAGTCACTTCAACACCCTGTGCCTCGGTTTCCCCATCTGGCCGTCTATAAACTGGAAACAGTAACGGTACCTACCTCATAGAATTGTTCTCAGGGTTAAGTGACTTACTCTACCGATAAAAGCACTTCGTATATTGTAAGCAAATAACAGAAGTGAATGTCACCATCATTTCTTTGGAGGCACAAACTCTAAGAGTCCTCAGATTCCTCAGAATACAGCTACTCTACTGATCCCAACCAAGAAAGTGAGGCCTTAAATACCTCTTGTATCCCACAGCTGAAGACCTTGGAGTCTCACCCTGAACCGTGAGCTCCTGCTCATCCTGCATGAAGAAGCCAGACTTCTTTTTGCTCCAAGACAAACGTTTCCTGCTTTCAAACCGCCTGGAGCACACAGAGGCACCTGGCTCGCATCCCTCGAGCCCACACAGGATGGAGGGCCACCTGTCCGCCTTCAGATGTTTGGACATGCTTTCTCCCCCTCTGACCACCTACAAAGAGTTCTCTCACCCCAGAAACCCCCGCCTCCACAAGGGGTGTCCACACACCCGTAAGAGGATGGCCAGAAGCGAGTTTCCCTAACCAATTAATCTGTCTTTCATTTCACCCAATAAGGCTGCCCACCAATTTCATCTGGGTTTCAATGTTCTTTTTCCCTCTCCATCTCAAATACCAGAAAACTTTTTTTCTTTGTCCTCACCTGAGGACATTTTGCGTGTATCTTCAGATAGAGTGGGAAGGAGAGAGGAAGGGGGAGGGAGAGAGAGAGAGAGAGAGAAACATCGACATGAGAGAGACACAGCGAGTGGCTGCCTCCCGCATGACCCAACCAGGGCCGGGGACAAACAGCAACCAAGGTACGTGCCCTTAGCGGGAACCGAACCCGGGCCTCTCTGGTCTGCGGGCTGATGCTCTAACCGCTGAGCCAAACGGGCCAGGGCCCAGACAACTTTTTTTAACCCAGAACGCCCTTCCAGCCCAGCTAAGCCATGCGACCCGGGCCCTGGCTGGGATGTAACTAATAGTAGCTGATACTAATTCAACCATCACACTGTGCCTGGGAAGTACCGACCATTCACAGTCACACACTCACAATGAAGTAGGACCCCCATTTAACAGGGTAAAGAATCCGAACCTAAAGCCATCCAGTCTGGAAGTGGTAGAGCCCAAACTTGAACCCAAACGTCTCTCCACTCCAAACCCCCAGAACTAGCGCAGACAGAGGGATGAATAGGATGAGGGCAAGACGATATATAGTCAAGGGGCCCCATTAACCCATGCAACTCTCCCCATTCACTTCCTCTTTTCTGAGGAGCTACTGGCGAACTTTTGCCCCAGGGGAGGCCCATCCCACCCAGCTCCGAGGGCTACGCAGGGCGCGGCGGGGAGAGGGGGGTGTCCCTGAGCTCCTCCAGGGCGCTCAACGCCATTCCAGGGGGCCGCAGGCTCCCGAACAGCTCCAGAGCCAAGAAAACACTCCCCGGCAAAGGCCCGACGCACAGTGGGCGCTCAGGAGGGTTCCAGTTGCGAAACCAACAGAACAGTCTCGTCGCTCCCTTTCTTTTCTCGTAACGTGTAAGTTAAGGGGGGGGGGAACCCCATACATATCTTCACATCAGAAAGAGGAGGGCCGCAGGAGCCCAGGGGAAGCGGGAAGTGGGTCGGGTGCGAGGCCAGGAGAAATCTGGGGTCGCTGGAGAGAGCGCAGCAGCGTGGGGAGAGGGCGCGCGCGGGCAGGGCGCCCCCTGGGGAGCCAGCTCGGCGCCTGGCTCATAGTAGGTGCTCTTTCAAACGCGTCGAATGAATGAATGAGAGGCGCGGCCGGCGTCAGCGCGGCCCCGGAGGCCCCGGCGGCGGCGCCCCAGGGGCCAAGGTCCAAGGAGAAGCGCGGCGCGGAGTAGAGGGCGCCCCGAGGCCCTGCGTCCCGACCCCGCACCGGAACACGCCGCCAGACCTGACACTGGCCGGGCAGGCCCCGGGGCGCAGGCTGAGCACCCCCAGCCCCGGCTCCCCTCTCCCCGCGCTCCGGAGGCCGCGCGCTGCCCAGGCGCCAGGTACGCGGCGCCCGGGGCAAGGTGACTGCGGGCGCGGGCCCAGCGCCCACCTTCTGAGCAGCGCGCACGTTGTCCTCGCCGAACAGGCTGCTGACGCTCTGCGAGAAGGTGTTGACGGTGCGGCGGTAGCTGGTCTTCTCGGGGCCGCCGCGGCCCCGCGCCCCCTGCGCTCCGGGGGCCAGCAGCCCGAGCAGCAGCGGCAGCAGCAGCAGGAGCCCGGCCCGGGCCCGGGGCCAGCCCGAGACATGCGCACCCATCCTGGGGCCGGAGGGATGCGGGGTCGGGAAGACGGGGGAGGGCCGCACCGAGGGCCGCGCGACTCAGGCAGGGACGCGTAGGCGCGCTGGAGGGACCGCGCGTGGCGCCTGTGCCCGCGCCGCCGCCGCCGCCGCTGCGCCACCGGCCCCGCCCCGCGCGCAAAGGCGCGACGGTCCTGCCCACGTCTGGCCCCGCCCCCGACCTGGCCCGAGCCCGCGGGACGGCTGGGAGGTGGCCTTGTCGACCCGCCCCCACCTCCCGGAAGCCCCTCCTGACCTGGTGGGGTTCCAACCATTCCTTTTTTTTTTTTTTTAATAATTTTTAACTTTTGGGTAAAAAGCAACCCATGCCTGGGAAACTTGCAGCAGCCTCGGTAAGCGACTGCGGTTGATTGGAACACATGAAACGTGTATATCACGTATCACTGAACTGAGTATTGGGGCCCAGGCATTGGCCACCGTTGCCGATGGCGAGGACCCCAGTCCGTTCATTCATTCTGAAATATTGGGATAAAGGGAAAGCATCTAGCATCCCTCTCGCCCTTCCGGAACGAACTGTATTTCGGAGTCACGCCATAGCGGAGGGCAAGCTTTTTTTTTGTTTTTTAGAAAAGTCCAGCTAGTGAAGGAGGAAGGAGCGAGAGGATGAGGAGACCATTGTGCAGCCCTTAATGAAAGGATGCAGACAATTGGAGTCCAGAGATGAAAACCAGGAGGTTGCTGGGGAGCTAGGAAAGGAAGGGGCCCACGTGGTCTGGACCTGCCCCCGCCCCTCTCAGTGGCCGGAAGTCCCAGCGCCACCTATAATGGGTTCATTGCCAAAACGCTTTGAGCCCCAACCTGATCCGACCTCTACATCTAACCTCCAGTGTACCGGAAACATAGAGGATGGAGGGAAAAACTGAGAAGCAGAAGCAATCAGCCAAATCCAGAATAGGGAGCTTTCTACAGGACCAAGGACCCAGCTTCTTCCATAAGTAAATGGTACAAAAAGTGAAGGGAGGGGAGGATTATTGATTTTTCAAGACCCAACAGCGTAGTAACCCAATGCAATGCAAGGGCCTGTTTGCGTCCCAAATCAAACCATGTCAAACCAGACTTTTTTTTTTTTGAGACAACCCGAAAAACAAAACTTAATTTTGGTCAACGCAAAGAGTAAAAAAAAAAAAAAAAAAATGTATCTTAAATTTGAATTTACATTTTTCTGGATTCCTGGTGAGGTTTTCATATTTTTATTGGCCATCTAGCGTATCTTCTTTTTTTTTTTAAGTCAACTTTTTCTTTGACGCATAGCATACAAACAGAAAAATACACAAATCATAAGGTGTCTCTCCATGAATTTAAACAACACACAGGTGACCAGCCACGCATTTGGAGAAATGGAACATGGGCAGCATCCCGGGAAGGCTCCTTTGGTCCTTTCCCGTTCATTATGACCCCCTCCAAAATGTAGGTGATTCACTTTGCCTGTTTTTAAACCTTATATAAATGGGATCACAAAATAGGACTTTTTCTGATTGGCCTCTTTGGTTCAATATTACATTCATGAGACCCATGTTGTTGTGTAAATGGCTTTATAGAATGTCTCTAACTCTTCTGAAGATAATTTTTTTGGTATGCAGTGTTTTAGAAGAACATATAGGAGAATGTTCTATTACCTACTTAATAATTTAAAAATGGATACACGTTTTATTTAGTGAAGTAAGTGAATCTAAAGAAACTGGATTGCTATAATCTTAAACCATGAAAACATAGGTTTGATATGCTGATTATACTTTTTTCAAATATCCATTTAAATTAATCTCTAACTTTTAAAAATGTCCATATGTATACGACCCAAACCTTCATGCATCACCTGTGCGTTTGTGGGGGTTTGCTTATGTTTTAGGGGGGAGGAGGGGAGTTTCTCCAAATTCAATCACACTCTTCACTCATTCATTCCTACATTCAGCAACTATTTATGGCTCACCTAATCTGCAGCCAGATCTCATTCTCCTAGGGTCTTCAAATGTTTCTTCAGGGACAGTTGTTAAAAATAACATTATCCTTTCTAAAATTCTAAAATAAGTCCTGGTGCCTTCGCCTTCTTTAGTGATATCGTTTAAATGTTTGCCCTTAACGAGTTAACGCTTTTAACAGAAAAAAAGGGGGGGGAGGGGGCGACACAATATCACCGTTCTGTGCAAGATAATTACAGGATGCAGAACCCCTGTTCTTTCCCGGGGCGCTGGGTACGAGACTTTAAAGCGAATAAGGGCCGGCTCCTCTTAGCTCTGTCCCTGGGAGGGAGAGCCGTCGGGCCTTTTTATCCCACGACTAATGTTTGTTACAAGAATACCCCAAAAAAAGTGTTCACTGCAAATGAGCAAAAGGAGAAATAGATCAAAGGAGAGAACAGCGTTCGGATACGAGGCGACAAAGCGCCCAGTTCGCATCAGCAGACCGCTCAGACCGCGCTCACTGCACCCAGGGAAAAGCAGCCCCGGGTTTAAAACTCAGGCCTCTGCAGGACCTCAGGCCTCGGCCCGCGTCCGGATGGGCCCCGCCCCGCTCCAGTCCGGCCACGCCTCTCCGCGAAGCCCCGCCTCCAGCCCCGCCCTTCCCGGGGGCCGGGCCATCCCAGCTCTCGCGAGAGCGCAGCCCGGAAGTTTACCGGCGTGAAGAGGAGTCTAGGAACCCACGTGGGTCGCGCTTAGCGATGCGCTGCTGGTGAGCCCGGGCGGAGCGGCGCGGCACCGGGCGCCATGGGGAAGCTACACCGTCGGTACAACGTCAAGGGGCGCCAGCAGGCGGCCCCCGGCCCCGCGAAGGGCCCCCCGGAGCCGCCCCCCGTGCTGCTGGAGCTAGAGGGTAAGGCGCCCCGGGGCTGGGCGGGAGAAGGGCCCCCCAGGAACCCGCAGCCAGCGCTGGCCGCTGGGGCTGGAGGGACCCCGACTGCGCCCGCGTCCGCGCCTCTGGGGCGGGGAGCCAGAGAGCTCCCCTCTAAGTTGACCCCGAGACGGGGGGACAGTGACAGTCTGACTTGAACCGGATTGGGGACAGTACCTGGGGTGTCTCTCAGCCCTCGGATAACAGCCGTGGGGAATTTGGGCCAGAAAATAAGGTCCTTACCTTCCCTGATGGCTTCGATCCTGCAGTCTTCCTGCCCCCCGTTTGCCTTGTGAGCCCAGACCTCCCTGCCCAGCTCCAGATTGCTTGACACCCCTTTGAGAAGGAGGCGCCTGCTAAGTGCCAGCGACTTTGCAGGCGCTGGAGACGTGGCAGAAAGGGAAACAAATCTCTGCCTCACTGAGTGTAGCTGCTCGTGGGAGAACACAGGCAGAGACACACGTAAAATATCCAGGGGGTGGTGTGGGTCGGGGTACCAAGGAGATGAAGCAGAGAGGGGGTGCGTTGACCCATGGTCAAGTCCTGAAGGCGGGCAGCATGGCTACAGTTCTTAAAACTCTCATTCTGGCCCTGGCCGGTTCTGCTCAGTGGTTAGAGCGTCGGCCCGCGGACCAGAGTTACAGGTTCGATTCTGGTCAAGGGCACTACCTTGGTTGTGATTCAGTCCCTAGCTCTCGGGGGCATTCAGGAGGCAAGCAACTGATCTCTCTCTCTCTCGCCCCCACTATCTGAAGATAAAAGGGAAAACATATCCTCAGTTGAGGATTAAAAAAAAACTGTCTCATTCTTCTTAATGAGGGTCACACCACCTCTCTTACTGTTTAAATAAAGATGTGCAAAGCAGGAGCAGTCGATGAAAGAAGCAGACACTGGCCATAAGGGGGTACTGGGGAGGGAAGGGCAGGGTGACATATCAGACACAAGGAGTCACTCCCAAGGTCCCTCCTCCCCAAGGTGCTGCAGGAGGTGGAGCTGGACAGGGATGTGATAGTGAATTTCGGTCTCTGTTGTATGCTTTCAGGCTGTGACATGTAAAAATAGGTACAACCCAAAACAAACTCCGTACCTCGCAATATTATTAGGAGAATAGCTTTGATCTCACAGACCCGCTGAGAGCAGGTTACAGTGTGTACCCTCTTACTGGTACCCTCTTTCCTCTCCCACCACACTGGGATGGAGGAGCCCTGGCTCACAACAGAGCCTGACCCGTGGCGGGTGCTGGGTGGGTGAGTTAACACGTGACAGTGGGCCTGTACCCTCGTTCCTGTGTGGGCGCTCAGGGGCTCCCACGAGGGGCTGGAGGGCCTCAGAGGAAGCCAGCATTAATGGGGAACCCTAGGTACTGCCAGCGTCTGAACTCTGGCCCAAGGGGCTGGAGGTTAAGCAAACATGTCTTTGCAGACAGGGACACCTTGAAAGGCGTCGATGCCAGCAATGCCCTCGTCCTGCCCGGGAAAAAGAAAAAGAAGACCAAGGCCCCGCCACTGCCGAGGAAGAAGAAGCCTCTGACCAAGAAAGAGCGGAAAGTGCTGCAGAGAATCTTGGAGCAGAAGGAGAAGAAGGGCCAGGTATGCCCACTCCTGCGGGCGTTCCAGACTGGAGAGAGACGGGGGTCTCCGTCCCCCAGTGCCAGCAGCGGGGAGACTGAGAAACCCTAGTCTCGAGGCTTCACTGGTTCGTGTTAGGCTTGCTGTCAGGGTCACCACACAGGGTGCTGTGTGTACACAGGTCTCCCGTTAGTGCCACTCCTTCCCCAGAGGACTCCTGGGGGGTCGGGGAGTTGGAAGATGGACATTTTATAACCTTGTGTTACGCACTCTCAACTTTGTGTTAATGAATTCTTGGAATCCGGGGCACGGGGCACGGGGCACGGGGCGAGGTTGGTGGTACCTGGCCCAGCCAACTGTATTGGGTGCTTCATTTGCGTGTAAATAAGGGTTTATCTTTTGGCTTCAAGGTCTCTTCCCATAAAAAGCCAGAGACAAAGCTAGGGTGTATGGTTTGCAGTAATGCCATCTCAAGGAAATAATTTACATAAATCCACTTGTAACCTGGGGGTACCGATCTGCAAATAAATGGGACTGTGTCTAGAGATCTGGAGCATTTGCTCTCTTGCAAAGCTCCCTCTCACTCCAGCCAGCGTGTGGTTGTAGGTTCATGGCATTGCACTGATCCCGGCCGGCTGAGAGACAGCAGATTTCCCGTTCGTGTGCCCTTGTAAAGTCCTGTGCAGTCCTTTTCCCTGCTCTTCCGTACTTCATTTTTCTTCTATTGGTTGTGAAAGATGTGTATGGAAACACATATAAAATATGTATAATTTCAAGAAGAATGAAACAAAGACTCATGAGCTGCTCACTGGGGAAAAGAAACCAGTGGGAGCATGGGGGTTTATCCAGGACAGCGTGTTATGACAGCGATGCAAAGAGAGCCACGTTCATCCACCCCCGACTCCGTAAGGGGTGCAGAGCATCCCCAGCCCATGCGTCTGCTGGCATAACAACACCGGCAGCAGAGCAGTTGCGATTGGAAGGCTGTCGGTACCAGTCTTGCTGAGACGGTGTACAGTCTCCCTCCCCTTCTGAAGAGAGGGTGGCGATCCCTCCTAAATCTGACACACTCATGTCCTCCCCAGCGCGCACAGATGCTGCAGAAACTGAGTGAGGTCCAGGTGTCGGAAGCGGAGCTGAGACTCTACTACACCACGTCCAAGCTGGGCACTGGGGACCGCATGTACCACGCCAGAACGTGAGTCGGCCAGCCCCTTCTGAAGCCTGTCCCTCCCTGGGGCATGAGAACACATGTCTGCAGTGGTCCACGGGCTGTAACGCTTCTTGGGGGGGTAGAGGCCCCAGGTGCTACATACCCTGCAAGGCACCGGACGCCGGCCTCCAGGGCGTCAGGATCTAAACTCCAGGGGTGAGCAGGGCTGGTTCCTTCGGGAGGCCGGAGCGTGTTCTCCGAGCCCAGGTGCTGGCCGGCAAGCCCTGTGAGATGCGTCCCCCCATCCCTGCCTCTGTTGTCACGTAGCGTCCTCCCGGCCTGTGCCTGCGTCTTGCCTTTCTCTCCTCACGGGACTGCGGGCCCACCCCGACCCACTATGACCTCGTCTACATGACAGCTGCACACTGTCCGGGCTCTGCTCAGGCTGGGGACAGAGCAGTGCACCGAAATAAAGTGATAAGTGAGCCTCCCTCCACGGCGGGCTGCGCCACGAGCAGGTGGAAGGAAGCTGATGTATCACTGCTGCCGGGCGCCAGGCAGGAGCTGGAGCAGGAAAGGGGGTGGAAGGAGGCAGAGGTGCCTCAGGGAAGTCCCTGGGAGGTGACATTGGCGTGAGGTGAGGGAGGGAGCAGGAACTGCAGAGCAAAGGCCCTGAGGCGGGAAGCTGCGTGGCCTTTGCGTCCTGGCCTCTGACAGGCACGGGAATCCACAGTTGCCCCGGGTCCACCCCAGAGCCGTGGTGTCTGGTTCCTGTCTGCTTGCAGGAAGGCTGACGAGGTCACGGCCCAGGGTCAGGAGAAGATCAGCAGCCTCAGCGGGGCCCGCCGGAAGCGCCGTCTCCAGGAATCAGAAGAAGAGTCTGAGTCCTCAGTGGAGTCTGAACCCGACGAGGCTGAGGCTGCCGAGCAGGCGGAGGCCCCTACAGAGATGGTGGCGCTGCGGCTGCCACCCGCTCCGCCAGGGGGCGCAGGGGAGAGCCCGGTGCCCAGGGGTCCGCCCGCGCCTGCCGGGACTCCTGCCGGGACTCCAGCTGCGGCCTCCTCCCTGCCCAGGCCCCCCGCGAAGCCCGCCGTCTTCATCCCCGTGAACCGCTCCCCGGAAATGCAGGTCCGTGGCTCCAGTGTACTTGATGCCGCGCGCTGAGGGTGCCGGGAGGGGTGGCCCTGTGATTCCGGCATGGTTGCCTCACCAGTGCCTACCCGTAGACCCCCCCACCAGCAACAGCTGCGCCCCCGGGTCTCGGGCTGCTCTGCGCTGGCCACGCTGTCCCCGAGGACGCCGGGTCTCGCTTCCCGCAGGGCCCTGCTCACGTCTCTGCCGCCCGCCCCAGCTGCCAAGGCTTCTGTTCCCCAGCGGGCACACTGTCCCCGCGTCCTTACAGCCCGTGCACATCCAGCTGCCACCTCTACAGAGACACGTCGCCCTACCTTGTTGCTGTCTCAGCACAGTCCCCTTGTCCCCTCAGCCGTTCTGCAGCGGACCCCTGATTCCCGAGTGCTGCCTTCCTCTCTCTGCAGAAAGAACGCCTGAAGCTTCCGATTCTGTCCGAAGAACAAGTGATCATGGAGGCAGTGGCCGAGCACCCCATCGTCATTGTGTGTGGCGAGACGGGCAGCGGGAAGACCACGCAGGTGCCCCAGTTTCTCTACGAAGCAGGCTACAGCAGGTGGGGCTCCCGGGCTCCGGCCCTGCCTTGCCGTTGGCTTGCTGTGTGGTTCTGGGCCCCCGCTTCTTCAGCTGTGAGATGAGGACGTCACTGCACCCACTTCCCCTGGGTGTCATGTCGATGAAATGACTGAGTGGGTGTAAAGCGCTTGGCTCGGTCCCTGGCACGTGGAGCGGCGTGTCACCTCTGTTGGCACTTTTGACACATGTGATCGGGTCCCCAAGGCCAACCCCAGGTTCAGCGATTTGCTAAGACACGTGGGGCCCAGCAGAGTCATAGTCTGTTGCTAAGTGACGCTGGGGTGCCTGCCTGTTGGGCGTGTCTCCTGGCCCCGGTGATGGCCACTTGTACCCAGCTGATGACGTGTTCTCCTTCCTGCAGCGATGACAGCATCATCGGCGTCACGGAGCCCCGCCGAGTGGCCGCTGTGGCCATGTCCCAGCGGGTGGCCAAGGAAATGAACCTGTCGCAGCGGTGAGGGCTCAGCCTCCGGGGCAGTGTGGAGGGCTGGTGCTCTGGCCGAGCCCAGGGGTCAGCCGTCCAGGGGATCCGAGAGCGTTGGAGGCCCTCATCCATCCCGAGGGCCCAGGGCAGAGTGTGGCGTCTGCGTCCCAGCACAGGGTTTCCTTCCACCAGGTTTTCTGCACGTCAGACGGTGGGACCCTCCTGGGCGGGGGCGTGAAGCTGGGATAAGCCTGCCAGGCCCTGTGCTCACCTCCCACACGTTGTGCTGCGGGGACAGTGGCCCGAGGGCAGAGCAGAGCAGCGGAGCAGGCGGGCACAGCCGCGGGCACTCGGCATTGCCCAGAGCATTGAGAACTCGGGTTTCTGAGAGGCAGCGAGGCCTTGGGAGCAGGCGCTGGGGCGCTGGAGAAGGGCTGGGGAGCGTTCCTAGTGCAGGTGCCCGGCCTCGGCCCAGCCCGTGCAATTCAGGGTTGAAGGGGTGGCTGTCCCGGTTCACCTGAGCCCATCGCGCCCGCGGTGCAGACGGAGAGTCTCATCCGTGCTCCCGCCAGGTGTTAGAGCAGCACCCGCTGGGCACTCGGCACACGGGAGCCTCAGCCTGCTGCACGTTCCAACTTCCTCTCGTGAAAACCACGGGCCCGTGCAAAAGGAGAAAGACTGGCATGATGAGCCCCGTGTACCCAGGACCAGTTTCGGTCTCTGTCAGCTCGGGACCCAGCTTTGTTTCGTCTGTACCCCACTCCTGGTCCCCGTCGTTGGGAAGCAAATTGCAGGTGTCATGTCGTCTCCCCCTCAGTATTTCCCTCTGTGGGTCTGACGTGTCCATTTGGAATTTAAAAAAGAAAACAGGGCTCTGTAAAGTACAGCGGCAATGCCCTGGTGACCAGAGCGCGTCGTGACCCCCGTGGGTCCTGTGGTCCACCTTCTGCTGTCCCTGGCCATGTCCTGGGAAGCTTTCCTAGTGGCTCGGTCACTCGGGCTCCAGCCAAGGTCTGCACACTGGTGAGGGGGCGGGCAGGTGTCTGGGCCTTCTTTGGGGCGTTGGGGGCCCTGCCCTTGGCTGCCTGCCCACCGGGGCCCAGTCTTCGCTGCCGCCCACCTTAGAGCGGCCTCAAGGCAGCAGCCCCGAACAGCCAGACCCCTGGGGCCTCACCTGCCCTGTCCCCGCAGGGTCGTCTCCTATCAGATCCGATACGAAGGGAATGTGACCGAGGAGACCAGAATCAAGTTCATGACCGACGGCGTGCTGCTCAAGGAGATCCAGAAGGTGGGTGCCCATCTCACCTCGAAACACGAGGCCGCCCTGGCCGGTGTGGCTCGGTGGTTGGAGTGTCAGCCTGCGGGGACCCGGGTTCGGTTCCCACTAAGGGCAAGTACCTCAGTTGCAGTGGGAGTCAGATGACACCCTGGCTGCGAGCAGCTGGTGCCAACTGTGGCGCCGCCTTGGGCAAGTAAACCCCGCTGGGCCTCCGTTCCTGGTCCCTTCCTCGCGGACCGTTCTGCAGCAGAAATGGTATGATGTGCGAGCGCTGAGCAGAGCCCCTAGAGCCGCGGTTCTCGGCCTGTGGGTCGCACGACCCTTTCACAGGGGTCACCTAAGACAAGGGTAGCAAACTTCCGTTATGGAGTAGCAGTGAACATGATTTTATGCTTGGGGGTCACCACAACACGAGGAGCTGTATTAAAGGTCGCAGGCTTAGGAAGTTTGAGAAGCACTGGCCGAGTAGGTGCTCCTTAAACTTGAGCTCGTGTCTTTGTGATGATCGGGTTCACGGATGGGCGCCGTAGCTGTGTGCCTGCTGCTCCTCGCTGGCCGGCGACATCCCCCGGGCAGGAGTCTGGGGAGGGCAGAGAGAATCCTACTTACCCTGCCTCCAGGCTGGCCAGGGTCGCTCAGGAAGGAGGCTGTGGGCTGTTTGGGGACCGATGGCCCTTTCCATGGGGCGTGCGTGCTTCAGTCGCCCTTGGTCCCCACCCAGCAGCTCATTTCCCGTTCCTGCCTTCTGCTCCCGTCGTCCGCGGCTGGTAGCTCAGGTCTAGTGAACAGTAGCTGCCCTTTCCCAGCCAGAACCCCCTTGAACAGAGCAGGAAGTGAGGTGCGGTACAGGGGGTGAAGTCCCAGCCCAGGATCCCCCAGACTGAGTGCTCCAGCACCCCTGAGTGGGGACAGGCGTGGAGTGACGGGTGGGTCAGGCCTGGGCTGGCAGGCCTCACCTGCTGGCCTCCCCCCAGGACTTCCTGCTGCTGAAATACAAGGTGGTGATCATCGACGAGGCCCATGAGCGCAGCGTGTACACGGACATCCTCGTCGGCCTCCTGTCCCGCATCGTGTCTCTCCGGGCGAAGGTGGGCAGGGGCGTGGGCCCCCTGCACCGAGGCTGCTGCTGCGGTGCTGGGTGCCCAGCCCAGTGCTGGACTGTGGGTCTCGGTGCAGCAGCCCCATGTGACCCCTCCCCTCCGTCCAATGCTGGCGGCTCCAGCGCAGAGTCCGCGGCCCGTCAGGCCCTGCCGTGTTGGCTTTAAGGCCCAGCCAGGTGTTTGGAAGCCACAGAAGTGGGGCCGCCAGCCACGCCCTGTGACCCTGCTCTGGGCCGCGTGCCCAGCACCCAGCCTAGGGTCACCCCTCCTCCCACCCATCCCCCCCCCCGATGGGGCCTGCTGGGTAGGGGACGCCACCCTGGCGGGGCTCTGCTACCAGCCCTGCTCCAGCCCCTTGGTCCTGCTGGGAAGGTGGCACCTCGCTGAGTCTTCCCAGTGCAGACAGTCCACCAGACAGCTGTCAGTGCTGTGCGTGCGCGTGTGCGCGTGTGCGCGCGTGTGTGTGCACCTGTGTATGTGACTGCGCCTGTGAGTGTGCGTGTGTGTGTGCGCACAGGACACTGGATCCTGGCATTCTGGGCCTTTTTAAATTTTATTTATTTTTAATGTTTTTACATTTTAATGATTTTATAAAGAGAGGAAGGGAGAGGGAGAGGGAGAGAGAAACCTCGACGAGAGAGAACATCGATTGGCCGCCTCCACTGGGGATCGGGCCCACAACCTGGGCATGTGCCCTCACCAGGAATTGAACCGGTGACCTCTTGATGCAGGGTCAATGCTCAACCACTGAGCCACACCGGCCGGGCCTGGGGCTTCTTTTAACCAGGGCAGGGGGCAGTAAGCAGACTCAGAAGGCCTGTGAACCTGTGACTGAGGAAGCAGAGAAAGGGGAGGACCAGGGAGGAGGCGGAGGAGGGTGGTGGGAGAAGACCTGACTGGGTGGGGGCTGAAGGAAGTGAGGGGACGAGGTCCGGTGGGGTTGGAGTGAGTGGACCCAAGCTCACATTCCGCCATCGGAGTTTAACTTGGGGGAAACCAAGGATCCCCTTTAAGGAGCCACCACTTTGAGGGAGGCAGGTCCTGCGATCAGCTCACTTCTCCCACTTTTTCTGGGACCTGGGCATCCAGCACGGGGGCTGAGGGAGGCCGGGAGGGCACAGGTCTCCCCACCCTGGGTGGCCGAGGGTCACCGAGCCTGTCATCCTGCAGAAGCTCCTGCCGCTGAAACTAATCATCATGTCGGCCACGCTGCGGGTGGAGGACTTCACCCAGAACCAGCGGCTCTTCCCAGAGCCTCCTCCCGTCATCAAGGTGACACCCCGGCCAGGGTCTTGGGCTGGGGGGAAGCAGGACCCTGTCAGCTTCCAGACTGAGACTTCGTGGTCGGGAAAGGGGCAGGAACCGAGCCTGGGCTGACGCTCGCCCCTTGGTGCCTATCAGGTGGAGTCGCGGCAGTTCCCGGTGACAGTGCATTTTAACAAGCGGACGCCGCTGGAGGACTACAGTGGCGAGTGCTTCCGGAAGGTGTGCAAGATTCACCGTATGCTGCCCGCAGGTGAGGCCCCGCCGGGAGCAGGGCCGGGCGCGGTTCCCTGTTCTCGCTGTGCCTCGGTTTCCTCCGTCCCGGCGTGTTCACAGCAGCTGCCCTGCTGAGCTCCGTCCAGAGTATCGTGAGGCTTCAGTGACCACGGGGCAGCTTCTGTCCATGTCTGATAAGCAGGACAACGCACAGGGCCCAGGCAGGTGGCAGTGGCGCAGGTGTGTCCCACCTGAGATGACCCCAGGCCCCGTAACACTGTCCTGCTACTTACCTGGTGTCACGCCAGGTGGCTTTGTCTTCCCTGTCGCTCTGGGTTTACCTGTTCTGGGTGTTGGTGTAATTGTAGGGTCAGGCAGTACATGGCTTGTGTCTGGCTTCTCCCCCTCAGCACCATGTTCTCGAGGTACATCCACACTGTAGCAGGTGTCTGCTCCATTCCTGTTCGTGGCTGAGTAATATTCCCCTGTGGGGGAGGACACGGTCTGCGGGTCGTCCATCCATCGATGGGCACCGGGTTGCTTCCAGCTCTTGGCTCTGTGCACGGAGCTGCCGTGAGCGTCCATGTGCAGGTCAGAGATTCGCAGCCTCCTTCCCGATCTCTTAGCACATGCCCGGCTGTGGACCTGCCGAGGCCGACAGTGACTGTGGAACCGCAGCCCCCTCGGTCCGGGACATGGCTGCTGGGCGCCTGCCCATGTCTCCTGCTCGGGCGGGCTCTCTTTTGTGCCCGGCGCTCAGCAGAGTTTGGCAGAGGGTGGTGGCTGAGTCAGTGCTTGCTGCGCAGATGAACGGTTAACGGGGCACTTGTCCTTCCTGCAGGGGGCATCCTGGTGTTCTTGACGGGGCAGGCTGAGGTGCACGCGCTGTGCCGCAGGCTGCGGAGGGCCTTCCCGCACGTCGGACGCAGGCCGCCAGGTAACCGGGAGGCTGGGCACTCGGGGCCCCCTTCCCTGCGTGCGAGCTGCACCTTCCCTGCCCTCCCGACTCCGTGAGGGCCACTGGTGCGGGCACCGTGCTCTGCAGAGTCCGGAGAGCCAGCCTGGCCCCGGGAGTCTCCCTCCCTAACGTGCTCCCCCCTCCAGCACAGGAAGGCCAGGAAGACTCGGTGGAAAAGACAAGGAAGTTTAAGAAGTCGCGGGCGAGAGCGAGGAAGGCCCAGGCGGCGGTAGGTGGAGGGGCGCTGGGGCTCTGGAGCTGCCTGGTCGGCATGGCGGCCCCCCGCCCCCGCTGCGCAGAGGACATTGGGTGGGGGAGACAGGAAGTCGGGGCTCACTTCTCGGTCACAGTGCACTCGGCTCAGGTGCTCGGAGCCACCTGTGGGACAGTGCGGGGAACCGGCGGGGGCGGCCGAGGGCCGGCTGTGATGGGAAGCGTCAGGGTGCCCACGCTGTGTTCCGGAGGAAGCTTCTGGAAGGCCAGGCCCTGCCGCGTTCACAGCGTGCCAGGCGGCGCCCTGCGTGCTTCACGTGGGTTGGCTGACAGTCCTGGGATCACCCCCCATTTGCAGGCGAGGAAACTGAGGCACCAGGAGGTGGCGCAGCCTGCCTTGGACTCCTGGCTCGCGGGTGGCGGAGCTGGGCCTTGTCCTTGTTTTTCCGCTCACGACACGTGTCCACTCGGGGCCACTGCGGCCGTGGGCCTGACGTCTTGTTTTCCCCAGACGCTGCCCCCGGTCAGCTTGGACAACTACTCAGTGCTGCCGGCGGGCGGAGGCGACGAGGACAGGGAGGCGGAGATGGACGAGGAGGAGGAGGCCCTGGGCTCCGACCTGGACCTGGACCTGGGGGACGATGGCGGCGACGCAGGTGCGCCTCCCCCCACCCCCCGTCCTCTCAGCTCAGTCACTCAGCAAGCGGCCGTTCAGCCCCGGACTGTCCCACCCTCTGGGGCTCCGGCCGTGGGTGTGACCCCGAGTTTCTGCCCCTCGCCAGCACTGACTGAGCCCTGAGAGGCCAGGGGTCCTGACTGCTCTGTCCCCACTGTGCCACGGTGGGGGGGCGTGTCCAACTCCAAAGGTGCTTGCTGGGGCCTCTGTGGAGACAGCCCCAGTGCCCTGCCTCGTGCAGCCTGGGCCGTAGCAGGCAGCCTAAGGGACCCCAGTGCGCTGTGGGGCCGCTTACCAGGCTCGTCCCGAAGAGGAGATTCTGCCGTGGCCGGGCAGCAGGCCAGGGAGAGCCTCGGCCTCTGGGCCCTCTGTCCACCGGGCTTGACCTCCCTGCCCTCGGCGCTGGTCCCCAGACTGAGCCCTTGGCTGTGTGACTGGCACAGAGCTGGCTCCTGCCGTGGGCGCTGGTACCAGCGGGCCTCTGCCTCCCCCAGGTGAGCAGCCGGACGCCTCCCACCCTCTGCACGTGCTGCCGCTCTACTCCCTGCTGGCCCCGGAGAGGCAAGCGCAGGTAGGGACAGCCGGTGGGCAGGGCGCCCCGAATCACCCACCGCATTCGCTGCGGGGTCCGCACCTCCCTGAGCCTCAGAGCCGCAGGCGAGCGGAGGTGTGCTCCCCTCCCCCGGCCTTGCCCTGCTGGGACAGCTCTGGCCCCGCCCCCGCACGCACCCTTTCCTGACCCGATGGTTCATGTGCTGTCTCTGCCGCCCTCCTAGGTCTTCCAACCTCCCCCTAAGGGGACTCGGCTGTGTGTCGTGGCCACCAATGTGGCCGAGACGTCCCTCACCATCCCGGGCATCAAGTACGTGGTGGACTGTGGGAAGGTCAAGAAGCGGCATTACGACCGAGTGACCGGTGTGTCCTCCTTTCGCATCACCTGGGTCTCCCAGGCCTCTGCGGATCAGCGGGCAGGCCGTGCAGGCCGGACGGAGCCCGGCCACTGCTACAGGTGGGACACCCCAGAGTCCTCTGTAGCGACGTTCGGCTCCTCTGTCCCAGCTGCCCGCTGAGGAGCAGAAGGGACTGTCGTGGGGACTCCGCAAGCCCTTGTTGGCTTCGAATCCTCGGCTTCTTCCTCTGTTCTGCAGACGTCAGGCCCTGCTCGCGTCTGGTTCTTTGTATTTTTATTGTCGAGTCGTAAGAGGTCTTTACGTATCTCAGATGCTAGGTCCTTGTCTGAGGTAACACGGCAGGTGTTTTCTTCCAGTCTGCGTGCTGCTCTTTAATAGCTTTGCTGCTGTTTTTCCAACGTGTTTTAAAGTACGGGAAAAAGACAGTTGAGAAACCACACAAAGAAAACCAGGAAGAAACAACGGTGGTTAAAATTTACTGAGTGCCGTGTGCCAGGCCCCGTCGTAAGCTCTGCACACGTGGTATCTAACATCCTCCCAGCCCTGGCTGGGTAGCTCTGTTGGTTAGAGCATCGTCCGGATACACCAGGGCTGTGAGTTTGATCTCCCGTCAAGACACATGCAGGAGTCAACCGAGGAATGCATCAATTCGTGGAACAACAAATCCCTGTTTCTCTCTCCCTCCCCCTCTTCCTCTCTCTAAAATCAGTCACTAGCCCGGCCAGTGTGGCTCAGTGGTTGAGCGTGGACCCCTGCACCAAGAGGTCACTGGTTCGATTCCCGGTCAGGGCACATGCCCAGGTTGTGGGCCCAATCCCCAGTGGGGGACACACAGGGGGCAGCCCATCAATGTTCTCTCTCATCGATGTTTCTATCTCTCCCTCTCCCTTCCTTTCTTTCTCTCTGATATCAATAAAGAAAAAAAATTGTTTAATAAAAACTGGAATCAGGCAGGAACGGGCAGACACCCTAGCTGAGTCGGGGTCCCCTGTGGGCGTTGTGGCCGAGTGTCTTTCCGCTTGTCCGAGCTGTTGGGCCTCGTCTCCTCAGGCTGTACTCGTCCGCGGTGTTCAGCGACTTCGAGCCATTCCCCCCGGCCGAGATCACGCGGAGGCCGGTCGAAGACCTGGTCCTTCAGATGAAAGCCCTCAGCATCGACAAGGTCAGTCACAGCACAGCCCAGCCCTGCCGCACCCACGGAGCTCCCCGCACACCCGTGCCTGGGACGGTCACCCAGGGCGGCCCTAGCCCCTCACAGGCTGGCTTCCCTTCCCCGTGGCCCAGGGCACCTGGGAGCGGAGCGCAGGGGTGCTTGCCCAGCCGCCTGGGGCTCCCTGCTTCCCGGAGCCCCCACTCTCCCAGGGCTGTGCCCCTTGAGCACCAGGGGACAGCTGCCTGGACAGACGCCATGCAGACAGACAGGGCCCACCCCACTGCTCACTGTGCTGTGGCTCACAGAGTGTTCTGTCCACTGAGTCCTCGGGGATGGACAGCCCCACATCCCGTCCTGGGGTCACCCGCTTCTCCCTGCTCCGGGCGGGGGGTAGAGTCAGGAGAGCCTGTGCCCAGACGACACCCCACGCGCACTGGGATCCTTCCCCAGTTGTTCCTCCCCCGGCCGGCGAGCTCGTCCGCTCTGTGTGGCTATCGGTGCCGGACACTTCATGTGAATGGCCTCACACAGCCCTTGTCCTTCCGTGGCCGGTGTCATGTGGCTCGGCCACGGTGCGGCACGTGTCCCTGCCTCCTTCCTTTCTGTGGCTGAGGCAGGGGCCAGCGTGGGGACGGGCTTTGTTGGTGATCCCTGTGCCCCCCAGGGCGCCAGGGTGTGGGGCTGCTGTGGGCACGCGTGGCGGATTCCTACACGTGTGTTGAGTTGGTCGTTCCTTCTAAAGTGCCACCGTCCCCGTCCCCATTTGTCGTCCGGGCACGTACTCGTGTGGATTTGGTGTTTGGTCTGCGCCCCTCCCGGTGGTGCCGGGGCTCGTGCGGCGGACCCTTGTCTCTTCTCCGTTGCGGGAACAGCCCCTGGCGCACATCAGGGTTAGGTGCTCAGTGCACGAGTGAGTGGGCGCAGTGACTAAACGGGGGCGAGGTCTCAGGGGTGTCCCTGGCACGAGGACTTGGAAAACCTAGGGCCCTGCGTTCCGGGTGCTGGGCACAGGCCTGGCCTGGCTGCGCTGTGCTCACTGCTGGGTGTTCACGTCTGCCTCTCGCTGTCCCATGTCCAGGTCGTCAACTTCCCCTTTCCCACCCCACCCTCCGTGGAGGCCCTCCTGGCGGCCGAGGAGCTGTTAATTGCGCTGGGCGCCCTGCAGGCGCCCCAGAGAACGGAAAGGTAACGGGGAGCAGAGAGCCCAGTTCCCGCGGCGTTCCCACCCCCCCCTCCCAGGCTGAGCATGCCGGGCCCCCTCCCCTCCAGGATGAAGCAGCTGCAGAGGTCTCGGCTGAGCTGCCCCATCACCGCGCTGGGCCGGACCATGGCCACGTTCCCCGTGGCGCCCCGCTTTGCCAAGATGCTGGCGCTGAGCCGGCAGCACGGCTGCCTGCCCTACGCCATCACCATCGTGGCCGCCATGACCGTGCGGGAGCTGTTCGAGGAGCTGGACAGGTGGGGGCTGGGCGCTGTTCGAGGGGCTGGGCAGGTGGGGGCTGGGCGCTGTTCGAGGAGCTGGACAGGTGGGGGCTGGGCGCTGTTCGAGGAGCTGGACAGGTGGGCTGGGCGCTGTTCGAGGAGCTGGACAGGTGGGCTGGGCGTCTGGTTCGAGGAGCTGGACAGTGGGGGCTGGGCGCTGTTCGAGGAGCTGGGCAAGGGTGGGCTGGGCGCTGTGCGACGGGGCTGGGACAGGTGGGGCTGGGCGCTGTTCGAGGCGCTGGGCAGGTGGGCTGGGCGCTGTATCGAGGAGCTGGGCGGTGGCTGGGCGCTGTTTCCGAGGGAGCCTGGGCAGGTGGGCTGGGGCTGTCGAGGGCTGGAAAGGTGGCTGGGGTGTTCGGGGGCTGGGACAGGTGGGCTGGGCGCTGGTTCGAGGGGCTGGGACAGGTGGGGCGCTGGTTCGAGGAGCTGGACAGGTGGGCTGGGCGCTGTTCGAGGGGCTGGACAGGTGGGCTGGGCGCTGTTCGAGGGGCTGGACAGGTGGGCTGGGCGCTGTTCGAGGAGCTGGACAGGTGGACTGGGCGCTGTTCGAGGGGCTGGGCAGGTGGACTGGGCGCTGTTCGAGGGGCTGGACAGGTGGGCTGGGCGCTGTTCGAGGAGCTGGACAGGTGGGCTGGGCGCTGTTCGAGGAGCTGGGCAGGTGGGGGCTGGGCGCTGTTCGAGGAGCTGGACAGGTGGGCTGGGCGCTGTTCGGGGAGCTGGGCAGGTGGGGGCTGGGCGCCCTGGCAGAGAGGTGGCCTTGCGCAGGCCGTGGGCGCCCTGGCGGAGAGGTGGCCTTGCGCAGGCCCTCGTGCCCTCGCACCAGTGTTCCGATCGCGACAGAATCCGCCGGAGTGGGTTCCTCGGGCAGTGCCCAGGTCAGGGCTGCACAGGGCCGGGAGCCCAGACGCTGGGCTGGCCGCCTGGGTGCAAGTCTCCCCTCCACTCCTGAGCTGTGACCCTGGAAAGGTGACAGCACCTCTCTGGGCCTCATCTCCCCACCTGGACAGTGGGGGTGCCGCGTCAGTAGTGACCGAGCTGTCGTTGGGGTTAAACGCATTCCTCCGGCCACAGGGCTTCAGCTGTGCCTGCTGCCTGGGCGTCACCAGGACCCTGGGGTGATTGCTTCATCCGGCCACACCTGGCGGATAGTTCGGCAGTTGTCAAGTGGTGGTTTTTTTAATCCTCACTCGATATTTTTCCATTTATTCTCGGGGGGGGGGGGGACAAAAATCGATGGGAGACACGTTGATTGATTGCCTCCCACTGGACCCTGACCAGGGCTGGGAACCAAACCACAACCAAAGTGCGTGCCCTTGACTAGAATCGAACCCACGACTCCCTGGTCCGGGGGCTGGTGCTCTAAACCACTGAGCCAAATCGGCCAGGGCTGTTACACTGTGTCTTTATATTGATCTCTAGACGGTCAGTCGCTGGGCTGGAAACGTGCCCACTTTTTATCTTGTTGCTGCCAGGGTGAATTTTGGGGTACATTTTGAGCCAGAGCCTAAGGCCTTAATCATGTCAGTGACCCCACCATGCGGTGTCCCTGTCCCTAAGCCCTGGGGCCTCCCCCTGGTTCACAGATACGCTCCCTGCCCCTGTGGCCTCGGCCAAGGCAGTAGCCGGTGGTCTGTTGTGTTTGCAGACCGGCCGCCAGTGACCAGGAGCTCGCCGTGCTGAGGGGCAAGAGGGCCAGGGTAGCCCAGATGAAGAGGAGGTGGGCCGGACAGGGGGCTTCCCTGAAACTCGGAGACCTCATGGTTCTGCTGGGTGTGTGCCGGGTGTGGAGGGCGAGGGGGGGGCTGGGCGAGGGGGGCAGCGCGTGCGAGCGTCCCTCTTCCCCAGGCGCTGTGGGAGCCTGCGAGTACGCGGGCTGCTCGCCGCAGTTCTGCGAGGCCAACGGGCTGCGGTACAAGGCCATGCTGGAGATCCGGCGTCTGCGGGGCCAGCTGACCACCACAGGTACGGCCCCGCCGGCCTCTGGAGCCCCTGACCCCCGTCCATGGGCAGCCCCGGCCGAGAACACGCCCTTGTCACGTTAGAGTTGTTCAGAGCGATGCTGTCCGTGTACGTTTGGTCCCGTCAGTCACTGGTTCTGTGTTTGCAAGTCCACCTACTCACCAAGATTTGTGCACGACCCCAGCACCAGCCCTCGGCGATCCTGAGCCCCTGAGGACACCCACGCGGTCCCATCCGCCGTCTCTCAGTCCCGCCCACTCTCGGTGACAGCCCTCGTCACCCTCTGCCCCTCTCTGGCCTGGACCAGCTGCTCACCACGCCTTCTGTCCAGCAGCCCCGGGTGCCCCAGCCTCACCCTGGGTTCCCCACTCCCAAGTAGGGTCGGGCCCTGGCTCGCGGGGTGCAGGAGGACCCACATGTTTCTGGACTACTGTCCTGCCACCCGAAGCATGTGGCTTCTCTCGGTGCCGCCTCGTGGGCCGAGAAGGCAGCGGAATTCCGTGCCATCCGCTTTCCGGGGGAAGGGCAGGGTGAACGCTCCGGAGACTCCGGCTGGCAGCTCCTCTCACCACGGGCTCGGCCGAGGCCTGGGCCTCTCTGCCACCACGGAGGACTCGGGGTCCTGAGGAGGAGGACACGGCTCTGGGTGGGCAGCTGGTCCTGCCTGCTGGGGGCTTGTCTCCCCGCAGCCCCGGTGCAGCAGGCTTTGAGGCGGGAGCCACGTGGCACGTGGCTGGGGCTTCGAGAAGGTCAGTGTGAAGCCAGCCCAGGCCTTAGTCCTCATGCCTAGCTCTCCCCACAGTCAACACTGTGTGCCCCGAAGCTGGGCTCTTCGTGGACCCCAAGATGGAGCCACCTTCCGAGAGCCAGGTGACTTACCTGCGGCAGATCGTGACGGCCGGCCTGGGCGACCACCTGGCTCGCAGGGTCCAGAGTGAGGACCTGCTGGACGACAAATGGAGGAACGCCTACAAGGTGGGTCTCCAGCTCGGGCCCGGCGGGGAGCCAGTCACTGTGCCCAGGCTCCCCTCCCCCAGCTGTGGGCAAGGGCAGGGCTGTGCCAGTCACGGCTCCCCCGTGGCCGGTGGGTGCGGGGCACCAGCTTCAGAACCACTTGAGCGAGGTGTGGGCCACACCGCACACGGCTCACTGCGGTCAGGGTGCCGCTGGTGGTCTGGAGCCGCTCCACAGAGCAGCACGACGTCACCACACGCAGCCTCAGGACGTTCACCCCACTCGCCATCGGTCGCCCCATTTCTCATCTCCACCCGAGCACCTACGTTCTGTGTGGATTTGCGATTCCGAACAGCTCGTGCCAGCGGCATCAGGCAGCACGTGGCCTTTCGTGCGCGTCCTGCGCGGCTTCTCGCGGCTGCGGGGGGGTGTGGGCCCCACTGTGTGCCGGCGCCATCAGCGTCCCCCCGGGCCGAGCCCCGTTCATCAGACTGCCGCGCCGCGGACGGAGACTCTGCTTCCCTGGCCGTGCACAGCGGACTCGCGTGGATCATCTCACCGCGTGCTCGTGAGTCTCCTGGACTCACGCCGACTCCCCCTCTCTCTGCAGACCCCTCTCCTTGATGACCCCGTCTTCATCCACCCCAGTTCCGTCCTTTTCAAGGAGCTCCCCGACTTTGTGGTCTACCAGGAAATTGTGGAGACCACCAAGATGTACATGAAAGGTAACGAAGCTGGTGGCTGGCCCTGGCCTGACCCCATGGCTCTGGCGAGCCGTGTCGCCGGGACGCGGTGGGGACGTGCTCGAGCCCCCCCCCCCCGGCAGCAGTGCCCGCTGACCCGCCCCTCCCGGCCCAGGCGTCTCCGCCGTGGAGGTCTCCTGGGTCCCGGTCCTGCTGCCGGCCTACTGCCAGTTCGACCAGCCCCTGGAGGAGCCGCCCCCGGCCTACTGCCCCGAGAAGGGACGGGTGCTCTGTCATCGGACCAGCACCTTCTGTGAGTCGGGTGACTTCTGGTGGCCGAGGGCTGCGGCACGCACGGCCCCGCTCCCTGCGTAGGAAGCATGTGTCTTGGGGTGTCACCACAGGCAGGGCCCTGGGCTCGGGAGCTAGGGAGACTGGGGGGTCCTCCCCTGCCCCTCACTGGCGCTTGCCCTCCAGATCGCGTCGGCTGGCCCCTCCCTGCGGTCCAGGTGGACTTTCCGGGGGGCCTGGACTGCTACAAGCACTTTGCCCGGTTTCTGCTGGAAGGGCAGGTAGGCAGCCGGTGATCCCCGCCCCTTCCTGGGCATCATGGACGGGAGGTGAGCCTGGGACCCTCACCCCATGCTGTGACCTCTCCTCAGGTCTTCCCCAAGCTGGCCTCGCACCGGCGCTGTTTGCTGTCCAGCCCCAGCACGATGCTGAAGACGTGGGCCAGGTACAGCCCTCCCGGGGGTGGCAGGGTGGCAGGCAGAAGCTGGCCTTAGGCTCCTGGGCCACGTGGCGTCACAGCAGCCGCGCGGCTTAAAGCGGCAGAAACGTATTCTCAGTCTGGAGGCCGGAAGTCCGAAGCGAAGGTCTCGGCAGAGCTGTGCCCGCCAGAGGCTGCAGGGCAGGGTCCTCCGGCCTCTCCCCGCTCCTGGGGGCTCCCGCGCCCTTGGCCTGTGGTCAGACCACTCTGACCTCTGCGTCTGTCTTCACATGGCTGTCCCGGGCCTCATTCCGCCCTCTCGTCTTGTAAGACACCGTCACACCCCATCCGACACGACCTCATCTCCGTCGGTTCCATCTCCAAACAGCCTCTTTCCAAACAAGGTCACATTCTGAGGTTCTGAGTGAAGTGAACTTTTGGGGTGACACTGGTCACCCCACTGTAGAGTGGCCAGGTGCCAGCAGGAGGTGTCCTGTATACCTGAGCCCCTGGGGGCTTCCTGCCAGCTGAGCACAGACCCACTGCATCCCGCCATCATCGTCATGGTGATCACCCCCCTTGTCACCCCTGCCTGCCCCATCCCTCTTCTGCTTCCTGTCTACGCATGGCCAGCCCCACGAAGACACCTGTCCCTTCCTGAGGCCGCGTCCTGGGCAGGGTGGGCATGGAAGCAGCCGGGCACTCCCAGGGACTCGGGCTGGGGTGGGGTTGGTGGGGGGGTGACCCAGGCCAGGCAGCAATCTGGAGGAAGGTTCTAGATGGGAGAAGCTGCACGTACGGAAGCTGCTTGGATGGGCAGGTGCTCAAGGAACCAGAGAGAGGCCAGGGCGGGTGGGTCGGAGGCAGCAAAGGTGGGAGTGGTGGGTGGTGGGGTTGAAGAGGTGATGGGGTCTGGACCCTTCTGATGGGGGAAGGGGCCCTCCACCCTCCTGGGCCCCACAACCCACGTCCCTGCGCGCAGGCTGCAGCCCAGGACAGAGAGTCTTCTGAGAGCCCTTGTTGCCAAGAAGGCCGACTGCCGAGATGCCTTGCTGGCTGCGTGGAGGAAAAACCCCAAATGTGAGTTAGGCCAGGGCAGGGTGCCCTGGCCGAGAAGAGGTTGGGAGTGGACGGGACGGGCCGGCCAGGGCAGCCCAGGGTCGGTAGGAGGCTGTGCCCTGCAGGGGGTGGCAGGGCCCAGAGCCACTCTGACACTGCCCTCCCGCCCGCAGACCTGCTGGCTGAGTACTGTGAGTGGCTCCCGCAGGCCACGCACGCCGACGTCGAGAAAGCCTGGCCCCCGACCTCTGACCGCTGACCCGATGGCTCGCCGCAGGCTGAGCCCTGGCGTGGGGAGCGAGGGGATGGCAGCAGCCCGTTTCCGGCATGGCCGCTCTGGCCCCGGGAAGCCCGCATCCATCTCAGCCCGATTCTCCTGGGGCTGACTTTCTAGAACTGTTTGTCACATGGCGGATAATGGTTTATTTCATGTGCTCTGTGGACTACATTAGTCTCTGTGGAGCGTCAGGGCTGGACCGAGTGACTGCAGGTCCTTCCTTCCTTGGGTGCGGTGCCCCCTCCCTATAGTGAGGCAGGACCCCAAGGTTCCACCCCTCTCCTGGAGAGGGGCACAAGGAGGGGCGTGTCCCTTGATGGTCAGCTCCCTTGCTGTAATAAATCTTGGCGTAGAAGTCCAGTTGTCCTGTGAATCTCTGATGTGGGGTGGTCTGGGGGTGCCCCTCTGCCCCACACATGCTGCTCACCTGCGTGTTAGTGACGGCCACCTGGCACCATGAGCCTGCTGGGGTGGCTCAAGTTCCTCTCACTTTCGCATGGGTTTTTTTTTAATCAATTTGTGCTGATACCGCAATAGAAACGTCAGAGCTCCATAATATAAAACAAAACAACCAGGATAACGTTTAATATTCCAGAACTCTTCACTGCCCCACGGCCTGGCACCTGACCCCAGTGTGCCCCCTCCTACGTCTCTCCCCCTCACACATCCGAGCCATCTGCAAGCTCTGTCGCCATACCTCCAGAATTTGTCCAGAGCCCCCTCGTGCTCCCCACCATCCCTGCGTGGACCATCTGTGGCTTCAGGGCCGGTCTGGTGTCCAGCCTGTGGGCCCCTGGTTTATTCTCCACATGGCCGCCAGAGGGAGCCTTCAAAGCCCAAATCTGGTCATACTCCAGGTGCATCAGGCCTTCCTGTATCAGAAGATTCAAACCCCTGCTACCTTAGTCCTGTACACTCCATGCACAGGGTTTACTTTCTGTGCCTGCAACACAGAGTGCACCCTACCCTCTCAACCTCGGGGGCTTTGCACCTGCCATTTCCTCCATTACTGCAGACAGGCACCCCTGACTCGCACACACCGTCCTGGTTCAGCTTCCATCTCGTCATCGTTATTCTCATAAAACACATCACTACTTGCTTATTGTTAAGCAATAAGCTTGCTTGACCCTTGCTTGACCCCGCCTTGCTTGAGCGGGAGGGTCAAGTGTAGGAGGGCTGAGAAACCTGCCTGGATCACCCGAGTGCTTGAACTTCACCTGGGCGCACAGTAGGTGCTCGGTGTGTGCGCACTGCCTGGCATTCAGCACTCAGCTTCATGAATGACCAGTTGCAAAACCGTCCAGAGAAATCCAATGTCTTGGACTTCTGGTCAAGGTGGCGGCGTAGGTAAATGCAGTATCGTGTCCTCCCACAACCACATCAAAGGTACAACTAAACTACAGAACAACCATCATTCAGAACTGCCTGAAATTGAGCTGAATGGAAGTCCTCCGAGTACGGAATTAAAGAAGCAGCCACATCGAGACTGGTAGGAGGGGCGGAGGGGCTGGTCCCACAGTGTGGTGGATAAAAATCAGGAGGACACCTCAGCTGGGAAGGTCCTCCCTGAGGACTGAGGGGTTCCCGTCCCACACCAGGCACCCCGCTCGGGGTCCCAGTGCCAGGAAGAGAATCCCCATCACTTCTGACTGGAAAAACCAGTGGGAACTGAGGCTCAGGGAGGCTGAGGCAGCTGGAGCCCCAGGCAGCTCCTCTTAAAGGGCCGGGCACGGACTCACTCCCTCTAAGCTTGGAGGGGAGGCAGCTCGAGGGGCACCAGAGACATACAGGGAAGAACTGAGCTGTTTGGCACTGGAGTGAGGGCTGGAGAGGGGGCTTTCTCCAGGACAAACGTGCTGTCAGAGGCCTTTGTTCCTTTGGTGAGCCCTTCCCTAGGGCGGCAGACACCCACCATATGTGAGACTCCAGCAACCTGACTCACACTGTTTGCCCCACCCTGGTGATTCCCTGAGGCCCCGCCCCACCCAACTTTCAGGCCCACCCAAACTGTTGCCAGTTGCTTTACCATAGGGTTGGCCTGTCTGGGATCCTGCCTGAGGTTTTCCTAAATTCTTTCAAACAAGCAGCATCTGGTCTCAGATAACCCCATACCTCTTGTTAAGTAATACACTGAAACAAACACAGAGAGGCAGCCAAAATGAGGAGACAAAGAAACACGTCCCAAATGAAAGAACAGAACAAAACCCCAAGAAAAGAACTAAGCGAAATGGAGATAAGCAACCTAACATGCTGAGTTCAAAATACTGCTCATAAGAATGCTCAATGAACTTAGTGAGAACCTCAGTGAACTTAGGGAGGGCCTCAAGAGCATAAAAAAGGACCAGTCAGAAATGATGGATGCACAGTCAGAAATGAAGGAGGCATTAACTGAAATAAAGAATAATTTACACAGATTCAATAGTAGAGTACATAAATCCAAGAAGCAAACCATGGATTTGGAATATAAGGAGGCAAAAAACGCCCAATCAGCACAGCAAAAAGAAAAAAGAATCCAAAAAAATGAGGATAGTGTAAGGAGCCTCTGGGACAACTTCAAGCATGCCAACATTTGCATCTTGGGGGTGCCAGAAGGAGAAGAGTGAGAACAAGAAATTGAAAACCTGTTTGAAACAATAATGGCAGAAAACTTTCCTAACTTGGTGAAGGAAACAGACATACAAGTCCAGGAAGCACAGAGAGTCCCAAGCAAGATGAACCCCAAGAGGCCCACACCAAAACACATCATCATCAAAATGCAAAAGGTTCAAGACAGAGAGAGAATCTTAAAAGCAGCAAGAGAAAGGCAGCTAGTTACCTACAAGGGAGTTCCCATAAGGCTGTCAGCTGATTATTCAAAAGAAACTTTGCAGGCCAGGAGGGAGTGGCAAGAAATATTCAGACTGATGAAAAGCAAGAACCTACAACCCAGATTACTCTGTCCTGCAAAGCTGTCATTTAGAATCGATGGCCATATAAAGAGTTTCCCAGACAAGAAAAAGTTAAAGGAGTTCATCACCACCAAACCGTTATTATAGGAAATGTTAAAGGGTCTTCTTGAAGAAAAAGATAAAAAATATGAACAAACAAAATGACAATGAATACGTATCTATTGACAATTGACTATACAGACAAAATGAACAAACAGAACAGAACAGAACATTCTCATAGATACAGAGAACATTTTGTTGGTTGCCAGATGGGAGGGGGGTTGGGGGAATGGGTGAAAAAGGTGAAGGGATTAAGAAATACAAATTGTTTGCAAGACTGACAAACCTCAAAGGGAACTTGTATGCATAACCAACGGACACAGACAACAGTGTGGGAAAGGGGGGGGATCAGTGGAGGGAAAAATGAGGAACATCTGTAATACATTCAACAATAAATATAAAAAATAAATGAATAAATAAATAAAAGGAATCCAATGTCTGCCTAACTGCTTGAGGACACAAATATCCAGAAGTATTTGTTTAAAAATGCGCATTCCCGAGGCGGCTCTCCAGCGGAGGAATCCGGGGTCTGTGATTGGGCCCCGGGAAATTTTATTAGCGCTGCCCTCTCCAAGGGAGCTTCCTTTCCAGGTCTGCTGATGGGGGGAGTCTGGATCCCCTTCCCACCGAGTAACGGATTTAAATAAAAAAAGAGAAGGTGGAGATGCCGGGGATTGAACCCGGGGCCTCATACATGCAAAGCATGCGCTCTACCACTGAGCTACATCCCCTGGCCTGCTGGCTGCGGCGCTGCGGGCAGCCACACCTTCCTCCGCGCGGCCCCTTCTGCGCGTGCGGCGTTTCCATGGGTACCGGCAGGCCCTCCCCGCGGCCCCTTCTGCGCGTGCGGCGTTTCCATGGGTACCGGCGGGCCTCCGCGCCGGTCGACGCCGCGCGCCAGGCGCCACACCTGCAGCGGGCCGGCCTGGGCGGGCGGGGCGCAGGCAGGGAGCGCGCCAGCCTTATGGACAGACGTGGAGGGGTGCGGCCAGCGCACGTCCTCGTTAGTATAGTGGTGAGTATCCCCGCCTGTCACGCGGGAGACCGGGGTTCGATTCCCCGACGGGGAGGCCGCTGGACTTTTGCTTTGTGCTACGCAGACACGCACGGCGCCGTGTGCTCCCCGTTGTCCCCGCAAACGTGCACATCCAGGGCGCTTCCTGAAAGCATCCTCCTCCCCCCAAGGATCCCTGGGGTGAAGAAAGCTAGCTCAGCAGGGGCCCGTGCAGGTGCCCGTACACAGGCGGCATGTGATCTCTCTGGGCCGTCGCGAGGGTCACCCAGCTCTCCCCGCGCGGCGGGGGTGCGCACCCCGCTTCGCAGCAGCCCCGCCGGTGGGTGCTCTGCTGGCCCGGTGGGCGGGGGGCCGGGGGGCGAGCAGACGCAGGCGCAGACCACGGCTGTGTGACTTGCACGAGGTCACACACCTCCCGACCTGCTCTAGACATTGGTCCCCTCCGGGGAGAAGGGCCCGGGAAGGTGGGGGTGACTCCTGGCCTTCCCCTCGGTACCTTTCTGGCCTGTTGACTTGCATTGTTCCTGCTCCTTCCCTCCCTCCTGTCCCCTCCTCCCTTTCTGATCCCCTTTTACCAGAAGGATACACCGAACAGTTTTAAGAACTATGCACTGATGAAGAGCGGCAGGACTCAGCTGCCGGCCCCCTCGGCTCCTGGAGGGGTTCAGGAGATGCCCCTTTGGTGTGTCGATGTCTTGGAGCTGAAGGCGCTTGCAAAACAGAGACTTTCACTGAATTCCCCTCACCTTCCTAATGCCAGAGGCCGGGAAGGAACTCAGCTGTCACACCCCCCCTCCCCGGGGACGACTGACTTGTGACAGGAGTGGACAACACACCCAGACGACCTATGTCCCCCAAGACCATACTTCCCACATGCAATCGGAAGATGATCCAAACACCGCACCCTCAAGGTTGGCAAGACCTGGCCTTTGCCCCCGTGTTTTGTTGTTGTTTTTTCCTAACATCTGCCCCCGTTTTTGACCTTGCCGTCACCCTCTGCCCCTCACCCTCTTCACCTGGCCAGGCCGTCTCGGTTCCTCCAACCAGCCAACCTCTCCAGCCCCAGGGCCCTTGCTTCAGCGGCCCCTCCTGTCCCAGAGCCTCTTTGTCGGTTCGGAACAGCTGGCTCGTCATTCCCCAGGTCTTCTCGGC